TGATTACTGGTTCGTTTGGAATTCTACATACAATATCTGTGTTTGTGCTCACCTAGTTCTATTTGGCGTAAATTGCACTGTTTTCGGAATTTCTGGTTGGTACAATAATTCGAATACTTCTAATGATCATATCATGTGATGCAGTGACTTTTGTTTGTGAAGTAATTCATTGATTAAATTGATGATGCAACGGATATTCTAGTTTTACAACTAGATACCAATAGCACCTTCTAAATTCGATTGTTCCCAGTCAGATAGAAATCAGAAGTCAGACGAGAAGAGGCAGGAAAGATATATTTGATTCGTTACCAATATATCGAGGACCTTTTCTATGAGCTGGCTAATGAAACGTAGGAGCTGTGTCCCACGCCGAGTCGAAACGTGATCTGGTACGGATGCATGACAGAAAGCCTTCAGCTAAACAAGTCCACTTAAACACGTGGTCAGCATCCAATGTCGAACACTTAATGAACTATTGATTTTGGGGAATTATTTACAGCTACAAAATAATGCTTAATACTACCCAGTTGAATTCATTTAAAACTTATTTTTCATAAGTGTAAAGAAAACATCTGAAAGTCACTTGTCAACTTTTATCCCTCACTGATATTACTGGAGATCGTAGAATTCATTTCCTGTACAGTTGAATACCTTATGTTGTGTGTAAACCTACCATAATAATACAATACAATTCCATACTGAGTAATTCGAATTTGAGTTATCATTTGTGTCTTCTCGAAGTTCTAGACTTTTGGGGATTAGTACTACTTCGTTGCATTATTTAAAGTTTACAATTTGTCTATAAGACCACTCCTTTGTTCTTTCTTCTTGTTTAATTTTTCTTCTGTTGAATACGTGTGCCCTATATTCCATATGCATAGTGTGAAGCTGTTGAAATAGATTAGCAATTTAGTCGGAATTTACTCAACTCCCATGTAAGGCAAATAAGACCGAATAGACTTTTAAATGTAAAAAATCGAAAAAGTTCATCCGTGTTATAATGTAAAATACAAATAAAGCCTAAATAATTGTTAACTAGAAGTGTAGTTATTAGAGGAATATAAAATGCTTCGGATCCCAAGAACTCAGAATTATTTACTTCCTGTCGCAGAAATTCCCTTCTCGTCAACTATATGCTAATAATTTTGAAGCTTATTTTTGGTCTGTTTGATAGCTAAAGGTTCCACCTTATCGGCTTTAATTGACACAACTTGGAATCTGAAAATGGCATTCCCTATCCACTAACAAAGTATAAGGATGCTTTCCAGTGTGTTCAATGGCAAGTCACTCAAGTCAGTCAATAGTCTTAAATTTAAATCCTAAGAAGGACACCTCTAAGAGAACCAAGAGTAACCTTATAATTGCCTGAGGTATCATGAACATCCCTCAGAAACGCGTCCTTCAGAAACGCACACTTAAATCCATTTTTGGTACAAATCTTGGAGAAAGCTATTAGAATCTTAGAGGTCCAACATACCATCGGGAATTGTAGTTAAACCAACTACCTCTTAGAAGTGGTCACGTTACAAAGTTATCTACTGTCAAAGATTGTTCAGCTGGTCTTTCCAGAAACCTAAAGAGTAAAACCAAACATATCTCCAGGTTTCTGCAATCGGTCTCATGTCGATTTACGGAAATGTCCTTTAGTTTTGTCTATCTTTACCTTCAGAAGTATCTTATAGAAGAGGCAGAAGTTTAAGGACAGGAAAACTAGGTAGGACTCTGTACTTATTTTATATCGCAATTTTTCGTACTAGTGTATTGTGCTCACGGCTACAAGATAATGGCGGATATTTGTGAATCAAGACGAAGACCTTGCAATATTGTGATCACTGGGCTTAATGGATTAGTTGGGAAGCTTTCATTGTCCCTCTGAGCATCATTAGGTAGGAGTTAGCAATCAGGATTCCAAAACAATTGACTTATACGTCTTTCTGATAAACTGAAATTTTCTTGGTTGTTACTTTAACCGTATGATCTTTGCTTGTATCCTTGTTTTCCTCATTTCCCCACTAACCTGAGCTCTGACATTACAGTTGTTCATCCCTTTTTTAATTGGCTGATTGGCGTTTGAGTAGAGTGATAGATTTCTAAAGCTTCCCTGGATTTTTGTTTTTCCTGTTTTCAATAATTTAACGTTTTCCCAATCAAACTCATGTCTACAATTTTCCACATGCGCTGATATGAACAATGTTACTTTGTGTAATTTAACGGTTAACTGATGTTCAGTGTAATTTTTGCAGTCTAACTTCAATTTGCATCAATCCTTAATTCACATCATTTTTGTTCAGTCTAAGGAGTAATTATATTAATCCTGAAATTTCGAAGTAAAACTACTAATAATAACCGACATGTCAGTCATTTATTTACTCTGAAGATATGGCTTTCATTCGGTCACGAAACGTCAGAAATACAATTATTCTACTTATTGGGATATAATAAAAATATATTTGTTATTAACTCTCTACCCAATGATCAATTTATTTGAAACAATCATGTCCAACAGTACATTCGTTCGTGCTCATCTAATACTTCTTGATTAAATTGCGTTATTCCTGGGATTACAAGTTAACACTATAGTTCAAATACTTCGAATTATCACAAAATGTTATTCGAGGTATGGAACAGTAAATCATAGCAGTTTTCACATAACAATATTTTTGGACGAAGTCATTGGTCATTCACGGAAGTTTGTCAGAGAAGACTATTCAGGGGAGAAGGATAAATAAGATGTGAACCACAGAATATATGAAACGCTGAAAGGCTGTAAAATAACTCGTGAACGTGATTTTTTGGTTAAAACAACTGCACATATAAAGTTTTGAACGAGTATGGCCTTTTTCTTTTTAGAGAGGAGAGATCAACTGTTGAAATATTTAACTACAAACTTTCAGACTTGACCGATAAGAAAAATTTCAATTCTCAACCATTCAGTAATCTTAAAGCTAATCGTTGACAATTAGCCCCAATATCCCTTAGGATCTGTGGCAAAGTAACGGAAGAGACCTTTAGATGGTGAGTCTCCTTAAACTGGACAGAAATGGTGTGACTGTTCAACTAAGACAAGATTCACATCACGCGATAACTTGATCTAGGCTATCTTAAAAATGTGTAAAGGCTATCCTGTCTCCATATTATCAATGGAAAAATATAAATCCTTGATGGATAGCTTACTTATATAAGTACGAAAGAAACATAGAAGCAAAATATTAAAGGGAGACTAATAGCTGTATACTCCAGTTCCGTTACGTGCATTCAATCAGTCTGCAGAAGTCAATGATCCTTAAACATGACTATATTCGTTAAACAGTTCATATTTCACAGATCGGACTCTTAACGATAAAACTGTTCACCATAGTAAATAATTTCACCAGAATTTGTTGACTTTCTTCTTGGATGTGAGGAGATACGGCATTATCTCGATTTTCAAAATGGTTTTTATACGGAATAAAAGAAGCTTTCGCTTAGTGTGCTCCCGTGTCTGGTAGCAGTGGATCACCAATACCTCCAGGCAGGAACCTAGGTATATTGTCGATAAAAGAGGAAAAAGAGAAAAAATTGATAAATCATAGTAAGATAGCATCCTTAGTCCTTAAGAATATGCCTCGTTTTCTCTTGGAGGACTCCTGGGAAGTAGCTTGGTCTGGCTCATCCGGTGGTGAATTCCAGCATTTGACTACTCCTAAGGATTATAAAGTGTATCTACAGTCCGTTATGCTATGTTGTGCCTCCCGTTTCTGGGTGTTACACCTTAGGTTTGTATTGGGACTGAGCTTAAGTAGGTGTTTTTAAAGAGATGTCAAGAAGTGTTAAAGATACTGTAAGCCATTAGAAGAGCTTATTAATAAGACATATATGGCTTACCCCATCAAAAACTTTTAAGAAATCAAATTAAATGATGTCAACATTCGTCTTGCGATCAAGGATGCTTGTCCATCTGTCCACCGCAGTCAGAAGGTTGGCTATACAAGAGTGACCCTTCCTGAGGGCATGCTGTTGTGGTGAGAACTTTACGGATAATAAGTAGTCGTTTATACCATCGCATATCAGGGACTCCATAATTGTAGACGGTATAGAGAGAAGGGCCACCGGTCGGTAGCTTGACGGTTCGTTGCGTCGACCTCCATTGAAAATTAGCCAGCTTCCAAATTTCCGGTAGTTTGCCTCTACTTAGAGAGTGTGAGAACATCATGCTTAGCAGTAAAACCAGGATTGAAGCTTCCCTCAGTATAACAGAATGAACCATGTCCAGGTCAGGAGAAGTGTCTTTCCTTAGGTGCTGAAGTTTCTGGAACACCAAGTCAGCTCTCAAGTTTACTTCGGGAAGTCCTGTGCAGTTGCAGATGAAGCTTACTTCAGTATAGTTGATGTGGGTCGGTTGAAATATCCTAGAGTACTGTTCAACCAAACTTTTAGCGGCGTCACAGTCCTTACTGGTCAGGTGTTAGATTCTAACAGTTGGAAAACTCCAGTTCTGACTTGTCGAAGAGAGGCTGCATGACGGAATAAGCTTTTCGAATTGGAGACAAATTTATCGATAAGGTTTATCTGTTACTGAAACCTGTCTTCTCTAATTGCGTTTGTGCGCGTGTTCCTTATATGAATGTGTTGTCTACACGCGCTGTTGTTACCAGTTCGTTTATATTCCGCCTAACAGTACCTTTTGCGGCTTAGCAAACAAAGGGTGCGGTTCTTGCTGACTGTAGGTTGCTTGAACATTTTGAGTACCTTTTAAAGAACAGACGAATAGGGGAAAGAAACACTGTCTAACCTATAATTCCCATATATCTATTATCCCGAACATATCAAAACTTAAAATTATCTAACACAAAAAACCAAGAATCATATATATATATGGTCTTTTAAGTAACAATAATCTAGTGACATCAGGTTTTTGTGTAAAAGTCTGAGAAATATATAACCTTATATACGGTGACAGAACCTGAATAGGTATCACTTTGCTCAATTTCTATAATGGGACATTGGCATACGTACACATACTTTTTGGTTGTTGCGTTACATTGGGTTTCAGTGACCTTGGATTTCCATGCCTTAAAAGATTTTATTGTTGGTCACCTTGTCAATTTACGAAAACTTTTTTTCCGAGGTCTGTTAGATCTTTTCGCAATTAATAATGTGTTATAATTAATTTCATTGTCATCCCTAATTTCAAAACAAACTTTTAAGCATATTACTACATTTTTTCGAAGATCTGTGGTTAAATGAAAAGCTTCGTGTTAAATTATCACAAGCTAATTCTCAATTTACGTTCGTTAGAATTAAGGGTGTTATACAATCCGAAACGCATCCACAATTATCTTACAAAGCAATTGGTTTCTGGAGTGTAGTGGTGTACCATTACAGGAGTGGTATGTTTATAAGCATTCATCAACTCCTTTTTCTTACAAGCGACAAGACCGAATCTTCATGAATTTTTTTCCTTCTGGTAATACACTAACATCATATACCACCAATGTATTATGATTTAAACTGTTTTATCGACCCAAATCTCACATCCCAACACTCACTTTGGTAACATTTGAAAACAAAATACATTATATTATTTTCACGGTTCTGAAAATAATAATTACAGAATCCATCTCAGTTTACAGGCATGATAAGTGAGTCGTGGTCGAACACATACTTTGTACATCAAAATACGTTACTCCTTGTTACAAAGGTTTCGAGTTATGCAGTCCATAAGACGTTGAGACTTGTAGATCTGCTTCAATATTTGTTCTGTAAACGGAAAATCGTAGGAGTACCTAAGTCTACTACTGTATGTAACTTAGATAACACCTCACCATTTATGGTAAGATCTAAGTTCAGTGATGTATTACCGAAGTATATCTATCCACATTTAGCTGTGTTAAGCTCCATGCTGATGCAATTTCGCATATTGTTCAGCTCATGAGGGGAAAATGAATACACTACTTTGGGTTCATCTGCTTACAGTGGGGGCTTACTCGCACAAAAACATTCACAAATATCATTGGTAAAAACTAAAAATAACAAAGGGCCTAAGATGCTACCTTGTATTATACCACTTCTGATTGGGACAGTGTTCGATAAAAAAGAGTTAATTTTGACTATTTGATGTCAGTGACTGAGGAATGAATCTAACCAAAAAAACAGAGGGTTTTGTATCCCGTAAGATGCGAGTTTATCTATAAAAAGTTGGTGGTTAGCCATGTCGAAGGCTTTAAAAATGTCAAAGTTTAGCACTAAGACTGGATATCTTTGGTTATGCTGAGAAAAGACTAAATTAAAGAAGTCAAAGTGGCATGTCATACAAGATCAATTTCTAAGAAATCCATGTTGAGAATCATTGATAAATTTTTCAGCGAGTAAATAGTTGAAGAGTTCGTCACTAACAATTTTTTTCAGAATCCTAGAGACTGGAGTAATATTTATGGGCCGATAATTGTTCATGTCAGTCTTATCTCCAGATTTGTAACGTGGTATGATATACGCGGTCTTTCAACAGTGAGGACAAGTACCTGATTCTACTTACCCTATGCGGCAATCAGTTTCCCATTTGCCGCCTGTAAGTTAAAAACTGCTTCGTGCAGTCGGTCGTTAAAACTGTCTGGAAGAACGCTAACTGCGCAAGTGTCGACGAGGTAGAGAACTTCCGTCATCACACCAGTGATGTCTAACAGACGACTATGTTCGCCGGCTACGGTTGCCGTTGACGCGTGCTGGTGGGGAAGTTTCTCGAAGAGTTTTTCGTATTGGTTGGTTTGTAGCTTGAAAAATCGCAGAATTTTTTGAAATTTCTAGAGGGCTTACCATACTTATTGTGGTACCAGCACCAATCAGGATTATCTGCTTCTCATGGTCTAGAGACAGATCTTTTTCGTGATAAACTCCGAGTTTGGGAGCGTCTACGGTTATGATGGGTATTAAGATAACGGGTCAGGGTGTGACAGAGGTCTGTGACGTTGCTTTGTGTTGTTTGAGGCTTTTCTTTGACAGAATAAACCTCGGCGTTGAGTGTTATGATGATCTGCAGAATCCGGTCGACAGATGCAGGCAGTTCGTCCACATTGTTGTTTTGAAATGAGACAAGCACTGCCTACACTTATTGGGAAAGCTTAGACAGGCTTTCGTCATAGGTTTGTTGACCAATGGCCTCTCGTATTCGTAGCAACATGTCTGTTGCTGAGCCATGTTGTAGATTGGTGTTATTGAAAAGTTGGTCTAACCTTTTTCCGTCGGTCAGATCTCTATGCTTGAGAATAGCCTTTCTCAAAGTTTCATAAGGTTCCAAAACATCACTAGTAAACATACTAGGTGTGACGTACCTGTTGAGATCGCGTAGTAGTTCTGTGACTGCTGCGAGGAATTGTGCACGTAGAACTGCCACACTGCTCGTGGAAGTCAGCTTCTGCTTAGCGGGACCCGGCTTCTATGTTTTCGGGTCAGAATGGCATAAGCTGAATGATGAAAGACGAAAGAAGTTTAATTTTAAGTAACTTAGTTGTCTGTTCCATCATGATGAAGAAATAATATACCAATGGGCGAGACAAATATACCCGAAAATGTGAGAAATAACATCACAATATGTAAAAATAAAAATTAAGAAGTGGCATATAATGCTTCAATGAGGAACAGACTCACACTTTACAGTGTTGGCGTACCAGATCACGTCGGTCCCATCACTAAAAATTCCACGGGTATTCATGGTTTAACAATGTCTTTATACGTAACACTTTTCTAGTCGAAGTATACCAACCCAGTCAAATCAGAAGTCAGAGGTGAAGAGGTTCGTAGATATATTCGAAAGGCTATCGATATATCGGGGACCGTTTAACCTAAGCAGGCTAACAGTTGTAAGAGATGCGTAGCACGGCGCCTTCAGCCAGATGTGTCCACTAAAACTAATCAGGTCAGCATCATATGTCGAAGTTATAAAACTATTTATTTTGTGGATTAAGATACCACTGCATATATATGTACTTATGCTCAACCACCACTTACCCCAACACTCAATCTTTTCTGGCGCAGGAATATATCGGAAAAGAGCTAAGGGCGGACAGATGAAGACAGTCACATTAATTCGTGAATTCACTGACTATTAGTATGCGTTTAGTTGGTAGGGTCTGACTATTTGGTCGGGGTCAGCTTGATCATCATTATCATCGTCTGAATACTTTCAGTAAAGGCTAAAAATCGGTCGTAAATGCTTAGATACATTCAATCCTTTTCTAACCTTAAATCCTTAGCTTCAATGTCAGTCTATAGTTTTTGCTTCACGGATTCGTTCGCAAATCGTACTTTATGTCGCCTCCATATTAAGCTTGGGCGGTGGCATAAAAATCTATTGCACCAGAAGTAATCACTGTTCTCATAAAAAGTAATACTCAGTATAGACAAAACAGAATTGATGATTTTTAACAAGCCTCAATAATGATTCATTAGTAATACAAAGAAATTTCAGGTCAACAGAAATATATTCCTGTTGTTTGTATGAGCTCACAGTTGATTAACCGTCTCCCTATATTATGTTATATAATTGGTTAAATGATTTGATATTTTGTGGTAAAAAAATATTGGTTACATGAACGTTTTGCAATCTATTATGTAACGAAAAATTGCATTTTACAATTATTTGTATTTATGCACTAAAGGCATCCTTACTAATTTTTAATCAAGATGCACGAACTCAGTTTAGAAAAACCTCAATTTACCAAGGCTCATTTTCTTAACAGCACATAATATAATTGTGTAGTGTGAACGTTTAGGGCAAACGGATGTAGATAATGACAGATCTTCCACGAATATATGTTGATTCAGGCTGATGCATAGTTGCAATATATTAATAGAAAGTTAAGAAAATAATTATAGAAATAAAAACAATTTTATCGGCAATGATGAAAACATTCAAATAAAATTTAACGACGAGTTGTAATGGAATTAAAGCTGTGTATAACTATTAATTGTAATGTATTTTACCTGTGTAATCTTCGCAATAACGTTTTTGATATTTGTTCAATAATAAATACTTTTATTCTATATTCCAGATATCTACTATTCATTTTCTTATTCAAAATGCGTGTTTTGGAATTGTATTCAGGAATAGGAGGAATGCATATTGCTTTTAAAAGTATTCAAAATATTAACTAACCTTGCTTTAAGAGTCTACTGTGAAACACGAAGTAGTTGCTGCCGTTGAGATAAATGATGTTGCAACTGATGTATATGAGTACAATTTCCCTAATACATTGACTCTAAATCGTGTTATCGAGGTAATTAGTTCTGTGCAACGTTTTTAAGCCTTAGAGTTTTAGTCCAGACTATGTGTGCAGCTTAAATGCAAACGTATGGAGTCTCTGTCCACCTTGTCAGCCATTCACAAGGTTGGGGAAACGCATGTGTGAAGCAGATAACAGGAGCTCTTCGTTTTTCCATGTTCTTGATTTAATAAGCATGTGAGTTCAATCAACTCATTAATGAAACAGTATGAAGCCAGCAGGAATCATTCTTGAAAACGTAAAGGGATTTGAACATTCTGAACCATGGCGACAACTGATAGGAGTGCTAAACAGTTGTGATTATGAATATCGAGTAAGAGTACCTAATTTTACTTTGAAGCCGGATGTTAAACCATTAAATGCTATCAGTTAAGATTTAGATCTTTCATATATTATTTAACCATTCCTGTATACTTATTTGTTTACAGTACGACAGCCTGAGAAAAATAACCATATGGTACACTAAACAAAATAAACTGGTTGTCATTTGAACCTAACCGTAGACAAGTTCGCTGATATCAAACTAATATCCTTTTATCAGTCGCCGAAGAAACAGTTCATAGTTCACTTCACTTTACCGGATAAATATTATACACTGTAGATTATTAGTCCTCGTTGTCTGGAACGATAACGAAAGCTTCGCAAATAAACCGTCTAGCTTACTAATGTAGTTTTTTAATCATTGAATTCCATACACATTTAAGGGGACTTAACAGAGTAGATGTGGCGTCCGAGTCTCTCTGTAGTACTTTCCACCAATTTAAGTGTGTATTATATGCTTTTTCCAAAGTTACTTTATGTCAGTAATTTTTAAATCTAGTCACGTTAATCGGACTTGGGCATCTTTGTGTGAAACGTAGAAATAATTACAGGAGTTTTGGCGACAATCAACTAGAAAATTATATGACCTTGATAAAGCTATCATATTATCCATTCGGTCATAGAGACATGTAAACAAGCTGTTCGCGTTGTATCCTAGAGTAGGAAAGTCTCTGTATGTCCCAACAGTGTAAATTGATGAATCCACAACCGATCATTCCAGCTTAAAACGAGAGACCTAATTAGATTAAATATGAAATTCCTGAGTAATTACAAAAAGTGCTGATTTATGGAATTCAAAAATGTTAAAAATTGTTTGGTTTTGAGTCATATCGTTTGTTGAAATATGTAAACATATACGATGAGAATGATTGTTAATTACAAGGACCATAATCTAAGGAACAAGTTGAAGACCATACTCAACACTATACTTGACAGGGGTTTATAGTTCTTATAGGCGGAGGTTCACTTAAATCTTCTTAGACGAAGTTTACTTACATCCCAGTATTATCTGAAACAGGTTTTCTTATGTAATCGCATACCATCCATATTTACTAACGTGAATGTAATTTACTTTGTTTATTTTTGCGAAAATTAAGATTGTTGAACAAGTACGTCCACATTATGAGAACCTTACAAACCGTTACCTGAAATCATTTTGTCTTGTGACGTTCTTTAGGAATGAAGATTAATTCTTCTCAGTTATCTGATCAACTTAATCTCCACAAATAATATTCTTGCAAAACGGAGTCTTTTGCCAGTGTTGCTGAAGACTTATCTAAAAAACTTCAATAATTCACCAAACCGTAAATATTTAGTAATTACTATCAATTCTGCAAAAATTACTGAAGCCTAATAACTGTTACCAATAAAACTATGAGTAAATAAGTATCTGTGATGTTTGTGTTGTCCCTTACATACAACTAAATGTTTGATTTTAGCAATAAACCAACAGTAGATTTCATTACAAAGCTTTTTTAGCCTAATTTTCTTAAATTTAAATTTCATTGGCAACTGAATAGACCGGACGTATTACATATACATGTTATTATAACTACTGAATGTATTTCCTGATTAACTAACGTACTGCATTTTGTATTTATGTATCTAATTAATTTGGTTTATATTTTAGCAATTTCTACTTTCTCCTCTGCAATTTGGCATACCTAACTGTCGCCTCCGTTTCTATCTTCTTGCGCGTTTGCGTTCATCATCTTGGAATTCAAATTTTAAAATGGGAAAATCAGAATCGATTGATCTGAGACCACCGATTGATGCACCCATGTTACCCGGCTGTCAATGTACCTCATGCAGTCGTGTTATCAGGTAAATATTTTTTAGTTCCAATAATTAATGTAGAATTCCATATTCTTTTATGTTTAGGATGCTCATTTCATCTAAAAATAATGATGCAGTTGAAAAGCAATATGATTTCCGAAAATGCTCAAGAGCTCTTCTACCCTAGTTAATAACTCATCAACAATCCTCAAATTTAACTTCTAAACAGATAAAGTTCATGAACCACAGCTCCTGTAATGGGCATATTTCAATCAGCCATCACTTTTGATCTCATTAGTCCTCTTCTTTAATCTTGGTTACATTGCTTCTTTATACCATCGATAGAGTACTTTCTATCTTGAAATTTAAAATTGTCATTATTATCCAATAAAGCTTATCAACCGTACAAAACATCAGATTATCGAAGAAATTCATCAGTCTATTGTTTATGTATTTATACTTTATACTGTGTTCCAATTCAGCTGTTATATTATTAGTCATCAACTACGGCAGATTTACCTGATAGAGTTCATTTTCAGTTCATTGAACTTAAGTGACCACAGATTGTTCCAATTCAGTATTTCAAAAAAGTAGCTTGTTCAATGTTTCTATTCATTCGAATCCATTTCATCCATTCTACATTTTTCCACACTTTTACTCATATGAATCAATTACGATAATAGACAATTCTTTGAGTACTTGGTTTTGTATTGGAAAAAATAAGGTTCCTCATGTAGTTTTGTTGCAGATAATCAAGTATAGCGCAGTTACTCTGTAATGTAATATAAACCTGAAATCTTCCGTTTTTATGGATCTATACTTTACTGGCATAAAATGGAAGTAGGTTTATTGTCTACACAAAGATCCTGTTTAATAGATAAAAAAATCATTGTTTTTTTTACAAAGATCTTAACAGATACCAATAATATTTCATAGGTAAAAAATGAAGCGTTTAAATTCCTTTAAGCCAGTATTTCTCACTAAAGAATAACTATTTCATCTGGCTCTAGAAACTCAGTAAGGGATTTTATTATCAAATAACCTAAAACTGTTAATAATATTTGACCTTTAAAAATTTACGTATTTCTTTGCAAAACGTATTTATCCATGTATATATTTTTCTTATATAAGCCACATAGAACATACAGATGATAATTTCACTGAATATATCCAATTTTGTCGACCAATATCGGAGTTTTTATTACTACCAAGTGACAGTTCTAAAGAGGTAAGATTATATAAGTTAACTTGCCTCCTTTTAAAAGTTATATTTTCTAGATGAGAAATGCCTTCAGCGTTATTTCCGTGTACTTGATATCGTCAGATCTTGCGATAAGAAAACAAGATGTTTTACAAAAGGTTATTCAAAACGATTGGAAGGTACAGGATCTGTATTTCAGACATCTATGGAAAATGAAGTAAGTTTCTTTTATTAGTAAGAAGAAAAGACTTATTTTGTAATTATTATTATTATTATTATTATTATTATTAGCTTTATTCAATATTATATTTTTGGTACAATATAGAATTTTCAGCACAAAGTACTTCAACAAGTTTCCGTTTCTTACTTCTTCGTCCTTCCTGACGATAAATATTGAGTGATCGCCAGTTATAAGTTAGCAGTCCAGTCAATCGACATCTGGATAATGTACATTCTTCTCGCTGCATATTGCCATCGACCACGATATCTCTGATTAGGCCTTCTGTGACCTTTACAGCGAAAGGTCTTACACTTTTCAGAAACGCACCTGAATAGGTTGTGCGATTAATAGGCATAATGAACGAAATTAGATAACTTGTTGAAATATCTAGATGACAGGAACAGGTAGCCCAGATGTTTAAACAGGCCGCCAATACAGTTATGGTAAGGTAGTAGTATGCCTCTTTTTTTAATGTGAGGAATGGCATTTTTGCTTAAAAAAATTTCCATTACATATGGCATTCTTTTGCAAACTGGTTTAAAAATTATCTTTGCTCAACCATTGAAAAATTAACTTCGGATTATTTTGACGATGGTCAGTACACCAATAGAATCTTCTGGAACGATAATTACTCGTGCACTTTCTACCAATTTGATTTTCCTTTGGTTTTCATGTTTTTTTAGTTCAAAATATATAAGCGAACAATATTGTTTTTGACTAGATCCTCATCATGCTTTACTGTAATTTACAGTAATTTTTATATGCATATACGAAATTATTAAACCAATCAAGGCAGTTTATAAGTCAATGATAACAGTGGAATAGATTACATAACTAAACATGATAAGTGAAAAGTACAAATTGGTAGTGTGGTGACAGGTGTACTAGTTGTGATAAGAATAATAAAGGCTTGAATCAATGTTACATAATGGGAAATAGGTCAAAGATTAGAAAAATATAGACACTGAAATAACGTTCATAAAATTATAACATTGCGCAATTAGAAATGTTCAGATAATTGGACCGTGAAACATATATTTGAGGAAAAAATGGTAGGAGGGGGTGAAGAAAAATAAACGAAGAAAGAGTATGGAAAATAAAACCATTTATTAAGGCCAAGGGAGAGATAAGGGGGTGTTACAAATTTCTTATGAGCACAAAGACTTGGTTTGTTGGCTCGAATTCCTATAGCTTCTGCTATGTGTAAGAGACGAGATCGAACCCCATAAGGAAAACTAGTAGGAATATGATAAATAACTTTAAGTGACTTATTTTTGTCAACTATATCACCGCTATCGATCAAGTGTGGAAGAACCGAGCTCCGCATTGTCTTGACAGTACCTTTTCCTAACCACAAAGGGAGGTGATCACTGACTCTTTGGCTCAGTTGTCTAGTAGTGCGCCTAATATAGCTTTCTCCACAGGAGCAGCTGGATTCGTATATACGCATAGAAGTGGCATAACCAGGTAACTTATCCTTTAATTGGGGAATCACCATAGATCGGGTCAAGTACGATAGACAGAGGTCAGTTGCATTAGACGTTCTCTTCACTACTTTAGTCAGTCTATCACGTAGTACATCACCAGCTACATCTCCGTTGAATTTCAGTATCAGGAAGAGAGGTTTCTTACTAGCTGATGATATCGTTATTTTCAGGTTTGTTACATACAAGTGTTTCTTCAGAAAACCTTGTGGATAACCCATTTCAATCAACATATTATGTATGAGCTCTAACTCTTTGTTAATTTTATCGACCGAGCATATCTTCCTAGCTCTATTCGCCAGACATTTGACTAAGTTTCTCTTATACTGAAGGGGTACGGAGCTTAAGAAATGTGTGTGCTGGCTTAATGAAGAGATTTTCCTATGCACACTTCTACTGATCGAACCGTTTGCTTTTCTGTTAAACAAAAAGTCAATAAAATGTATCGACTTGATACATATGTAAAGTTTGAAAATTTATTAACAGAAGCAACAGATTTGGTCCCTACTTCTCTCGTTGAACTTACTAGGTTTAAGACCGCACTGGTGGACATCTGCCAACAATAAAAAAATAGTAAATATACTGTAAAAAAATCCACTTACCAAACAGCATCGAGATGCTTTACATATGCTTAGAAAATATAGCACTCTAATCAAAGGCAAGCCGGAAAAAAGAGGAGGGCTAGTTCTAATGGACAAAGCCGATTACATCGATAAAATGAACTCAATTTTGAATGACACGACTAAACTTTTAAAACTCAACGACGTGAAAGACATAAATACGGAAACAGAGAAACTGTTGACTAATTCACTTAAGGAATTAAAAAATAAAGCAATACTTACCGGTAAGTGATAACCGGTCTCATACCTCTAACAGCACTCAGGATCACTGTATTCATGAATCACTCTCCCTCTTCAATTCCTATTGTTCCTCCTACACCGACTTTCAACACTAAACTTCCTCTTTCAGCTTCCTCCTCAAGTGTCACCATGGCCAGCAATTCTAATGCGCAAAACACTGTCCAAGATCTACTAAAACCTCGCTCCAAACTACACATTGGAGCCTTCAACGTACATACCCCAGAATCTCGTAACATCTGTGTATGTTGTGTCTCCGAAAACTTGCATATAGGATCCTAGTGCGGTCATAGACTTGACATTACCTCGCCAAATCAGAGAGCGGACGACATACACTCTCCGTGTATCTGATTACTAGATGGTTAGTTCTCGTGGACTGGCAGGTGTAGGCATAGCACTAAATACGAGGGCAGAACAAGCACCATTAGAGTGGATCCCCGTTAGCAGTCGCCTATGTGCTGTTTGGCTCAACGGCTCTGTAAGAACTCGGAAGGATAGGGACACACCTCATTGTCTTCTCATCCTTTCTGCCTACCCTCCCACTGACTGCAGCCCGGATGAAGTGAAAGATGAATTTTACTGAAAGCTTTCTGAACTTCTTCATAAAGCTGAATGCTCAGACATCGTACTCGTAGCGAGTGACTTAAATGCCCAAGTAGGTAGCTTAAACCAAACAAAAAGACATTTAGGTGGGTGTTTTAGTATTCCGGCTCAGCGAACAGATAGTGGTGATCGTCTGTTGCAACTATGCTCAGACAATCGTTTATTTTTAGCAAGCACTAATTTTAAGCATGAGGAGAGACATAATCTAATATGGCGACCACCTGCACCAAACCAACGATGGACTCAAATAGACCATATTGTCATCAGTCATCGTTGGAGAGGCTCAATAGAAGATTGTCGCTCGTATTTAAATACTTGTCTAGACTCTGATCACGCCTTAATACAAGCGTGCATTTGTCAGCGCCTCAATGGACACAGAAAAATCATTCTAAGAAGACCCATTAGAATTGAACTGAGGGACGAGAAAGTCAGAAGTAAGTTCCAGGAACAACTGAGTTCACATTTAGGCAGTTCTGTAAACGAGACTGACCCAGATGTTGCTAGGAAAGATATACGAACAGCTGTGAAAATAGCTGGTTGGGGTCCGAGAGATGGTGCAACACAGTGGCTAGAGACGTTATCAGATATGGCTCAGAATCGAAGCCAGTGGCGATCCTGCTGCAACCTTCTTTTACTTTCTACATAAAGTATGGTTCTTACTTTCCTATTTGAAAGAGTCTTCTGGTTGTACATTTTAGTCCGCCTTATCTTTTCATCCCTTCTCTTCCTACTTTCATTATTTTGTGTGGCGCATATGTACCTGGTGCCCTTTTGTACCAATATATATGTGAAAACAGCAGCAACATCTATTAGTGATTTAAACCAAAGGATTACAAAAACCAATGGATTCCTTCTAAGTCAATTTACTGATAGATCCTGGTAAATTCATCTCATCAGGCTCTAAACACGATGAGGAACGAAAACAAATCAAATCTAGGTTAGCCAAAAGTCTAAGGAACGATCGTGAGCAGTGGTGGGCAACAAAAGCAAAAGAAATGGAAAAGGCAGGGGCTGCAGGCAATACCAGACAACTTTTCAAACTAATAAAACAAACTGGAAGTAAGAAGGCAAGTGTAAGTGAGACAATCTCGGAAAAAGACGACACTCTTATCTGCTCTCAGTTCAGACGTTTAGAACGATGGGTGGAACACTTTAAGGAGCACTTCAGCTACTCTTCAACAACCCACCATTCCTAGACAACCTGAATAGAACATTGAAGTAGGTCCCCCGATTATAGTTCAAGTTTAAGAAGCAATAGCTAATCTGAAACGAGGAAGATCAGCTGGTTCAGATTGATTGACTCCAGAGGTCTTTAAATGTGGTGGTCCAATTTTAGTGATTAGGTTGACTAATATTTTAACTAAAATCTGGGAGTTGGACGTAATCCCATCTGATTGGTCGCAATCATTGATTTTCCCAATATATCAGAAGGGGTCAGAATTATCCTGTGATAACCATAGAAGGATTAGTTTGACTAATATAGCACCTAAAATACTAGCCTCAATAATTATCGGACGTCTAACAAAGACTCGTCAACTACAAACACGAGAAAATCAGGATGGCTTCAGACCTAATCGTGTCTGCATCGATCACATATTCACCATTCCTTAGGTTCTATAACACAGGCGTGCTTATTAGCGTCCGACAATGGTGGTCTTTCTTGACTTGAAAGCAGCATTTGACTGTGTAGACCAAGAGGTTCTCTGGAAGTGTCTATCATTGAAAGGTGTGCTTCAGAAGTACATAGACCTTGTGAAGGCTCTTTACTCGAACACTACCAGTCGAGTGAGAGCTTATGGCGAACTGTCATCTGATTTCGCGGCCTCAAGTAGTGTACAACAAGGCTGTCCACTATCTCCATTTTTGTTCAATTTCATTATAGATCTACTTCTGGAAAAAACGTTCTCATCGTCTGAATTCTTGGGAACTGATTTCTTACCAGGAGGTCCACTTATAAAAGCAGATGACATAGTCCTGTTTGGTGAAGACGCTGATGAAATGCAGAGTCTTTTGGTAGCATTGAGTAACAATGCAAGGGCGTTTGGAATGTGTTTCTCCCCCTCCAAATGCAAGTTGTTGCCCGAGGACTGGCCTGCGTCAACATCTGAACCAAGGATAGGGAGTGAAGTAGTCGAATGCGTCAATAACTTCACTTTTCTTGGAAGTCTGATCAGTCCTAACGGGCTGGTGTCTAACGGAATTTCAACACTTATTCAGAAAGCTCATTTGGCTTTTACCAACTTTCGTCATCTATGGCGAAGGCGAAATATCTATCTATAAATTAAGGGACGTGTGTACTAATGAGGTGTGGCAACGTGGACCGATGCGTGTATGTACTTGGTCCTACGTTGTAGCTAACTGACTGACAGTTAGTCATTGTCCGCCTATTCCGTAATAACTAGTTTTTGTTTGTACTAATTAGCGACTTTCTTCTCTTCTTTCTGGCTTATAAAGACAAGTGAAAAAATAACCAACTTCTATGAGGCCAATAAAGAAGATGAACAAGCTGTGTTACAGTATGCCAAATTATTGAAACTACGTTTTTTCCATTCTCGTGAAGTAGCCAATATGATGTGTTTTCCAAAAAGTTTTGGTAAGTTGTAATTAAAATACATTGTATTGAAAAGTTTAGGAACTCTATTACAAATATTCTTTTTTAAAGCCTATTATGTTTTTTCGACTTGTGATATCTGTCGGTCGATTTAAATCATCGTATAAACATAATATATCATTCAACGAAAATTTTTACTGTAAATGTTGTTTGGAGTTTATTCAGCTTTAAACCATAATTTTATATGAAGAATAATGTTCCTAAGAAAGGAAAAGTGTAAAACTTCAACAAAATTGATTAACAACTACGATATTTCAGTGTTATTAATTGACGTCCCTGCCTTCCTAATTCAAATATTCTGTTTTACTTTTCTCGTTCTTCAAATACTAAATAGTTTAAACCTAATTTATTCTCTCATTCCATGGATTTGTTTGGTTTTGTACACACAGGACCGAATGATAGTCCCTTCATCCAGCCAATGTATATGCTGTACAAGTTAATATTAATTGATAGATAAATTTCAAATAATTGTTAGTTTTTGGTTGTTCGAGATTTCTCCCAGATATAATATTTGCTAGTGAATGTTTCATTATCAAACTAGGCCACTTTCTTTGCATTTATTTCATACCTATGTCTTAGTTGCAATATCTAGTTTATCATGATTATATAGAACGACTTCGTAGATTGCGACACTGAGGAATGAATTCCAAAATGTAGATAACAGTTTTTTCAAGCAACAGGAAAGAACAAAAATCATGTAGCAACGTCGCTGAGAATGGTAAGTGATACAATACGAATTCGTTGGATAGTTTTAAACAAACTTTAAATCTCTAACTCTTACTAGCTTGACAGCGAAATAAAAATCTCTAATTTTGTGGAAACTTACTCTCTTCTAGTGATATATATATATATATATATCAATATTATAGTCTGAGGTTAGTGCTTGCAATTTGAGGGTCAGATATAATTCAGGTTGTGAACTCATGATCATTTTAAAAAAGATGAGGCAGGTCTTAGAGACATTTGAGGTTACACTGAAAGCGAACAGGTTCAGTTATTTTTCGTACTTTATGCAAACTCAGATGTTCTAGGCAAAAGGCTTTTCAAAATCATTTTATCATATTCTTGTACTTTTTGACACAACCATTATAACTGCAGTGGTTTATACCTCATTCCTTTTCATCGAGGCCGATATTATCACTTAACCCAAGTATAAATGGTCTTTAATTATATATTTGTGATTAAGAACCTGGAACTGTTTGCTACAAGTGAATTTGGTTACAAATATGGTTCTTTCAAACTACTACGTAGTCCGAAAATCTTATATATCCGGCCAGATCAGTCGATACTTAAAATGATGAACCAGCAACTTTTAAAGTCTGTAAAGGCATCATTTACATTTATCTAAAATAAATTGAACCCATGGGTAATTATAATTTGTTGTCTTGCTTAATATACTGACTATTCATTGTTAATTAGAACTAGAAGTATATGTGTGCTCTTATTATACTAGTCTATCCTGTATTTTATCCGTGTAACAACGGCCCCCAAATGCCTTGGTACGGCCGAGAGTGGGGAGAGTCCACTCTCCCTCTCGAAATGCTCTCATATGCCCACGCGTATACAGCCTCTGCCAGGGAAGTCTTACTCACTGCCTTATCGTGGCATTACTGTTGTTTACGAAATGGAGAGGACGAAAAGCAAATGTCCGGCGCCTTAACCGGGTTGGTGGACATGGAGGGTCCACCTAGGGGAGTTGGAAAACCCTGATTCCAAACCAGTGGTGCACATGGGCTCCAGTATCCTGAGGGAACAAATGGCGTACGAATCAACCGTTGATCACCGGCTACCATGGGATTGCATCTCCTCACGATGCTCCACTACCTTGTGGATCAGACATTCAGGTCAAAGGCTCGGGGTGTGGCCCCCTAAGAAAACCACCTGCTTCAGTCTGGGAACCTGGGCAGTATCACAGCCCTCACACAAATCGAATGAGATTTGTGAGGCGCATATATATCTGGTGCTTCCTTGTACCAATATTGATGTGTTCAAATAAATAAATAAATAAATACCAAAAGGATTTATTACAACACGGTTTCAGAATCAATGTATCATTTCTTTGCCTTAAATCAGATCCCACTTTTAGTTTGCTTCACAAAAATGTCGACAATGACTAAGTTACACCAACTAATCACATTTATTTGCTTATTTGCATTTATGGAACATGTAGTACCCTTTGTTTCTGATAGACACCTCAAATTGAATACTATTGTCTTTATTGATGGACTTCCATGGTAATCCTTTTACGGATCATTTCTACCTTGCTATTTTCTTTCGTCAGTATTTTATTTTAATCTATGTCTAAATGAAACTTATTTTGTTAATGAAATTTCTGTGGCATATCATTTTCAAGGATTACAACCGATAACGGTTACTTCTTTTGTAGCGCTAGCACCATATCACGTTGGGCTCACCACTTTATAATCCCGCCTGACCTCATACATATTCATTGACTTAATTCACGCTAGTAAATAACGAAATAGAATAGGACAAATACGAGGATGGGTCTCGGATATGTTTACTTCATACATCCGTTAACGTCAACAAGGAATAGTAGAAAAGAAGCTGGTTGGACAAACCAAATGTGTCAACTCAATTTAATAAAGCACTACTCAATACTTGCAATCAGATAGAAAAGCAAGAAAAATAAACATAAGTTGACCTATACGCGGGTTTCTTTTAAATTAACTTACTGAGTAGTCTTTCGCTACTTTTCGAAGCAATGTTTGATATTTAAATAGCTTTAGGTCTAAAAGACAGATATATTGATGTATCATATGTATTCAATTGTTCAATTACACCAATTAACTACTCATTTCAATAATTGTTAATGAAGTTTCTTTATCTCATATGTTGTACTAACAACTTGAATATTTGTCGAACAGATTTTCCAGAACACATAACCGAGAAACAACGTCTTCGTTTGTTGGGTAACAGTGTGAATATACTTGTTGTTAGTCACTTAATTTACTGGGCCTTTGGGACGTAATGGAAACAATGTACTCCTCATTAATTTTATACCATGTAAATAAACATACTATTTTTTTAAAAACAAACGACTACATTCTGTAAACTAAACATTATTTCTCGCGTAAGACCAGAACGTACATCATTTGGGAATGCATAATAAAAAAAACTGGGAGACTAGTAGAATACTTACCTTGTCAAACAAATATTTGTCAACTTTTATCTTAAGTTAACCTTATTTACTTTCTGGACGATCGACTTTTCCCAAGACCATACACGTATTTCTTGGTGATTATCAATCTGACTATGGCACAAAATATCATAATCCTCTGTGAATAACAACCTCAGTCTTCTCATATTCAGAATTCAAATTGAGATCCCTAAGCTGGTTCTCAAATAAAACTTTTTCAGGTGACTTTAGGCTGATTATTTGTCAGTCATTTTGGATGTTATAGGCTGTCTACAATACCATTTCGCGTCTTCTGGATATGTAATTCTGTCTCTTACCACTACTGCCTGACCTAACATTTGAAGCATAATAAACTACTGCATTGTTTTGTCTGAATGATATTGTCTTTTTTGAGACTTTGCAGCTTTAAACTACTGTTTTAGTTGGTGTTCAGTGGAAAATAGTATATTTTCTCTATAAATATCTATACTGGTCCTACTACCCATTTTGGGTAAGTCAGTCGATAGAATGGCGGTATTGAGCGTCGAGTCACTGGAATATCACATAACGTAATGTAGTTTTTTCCATGATATAGGATTATAGACGACAAATTATCTAACTAACTCTGGTCTCACAGACCAGGTCTGTGGGGTCTTCAAATAATATATATATATATATATATATATATATATATATATATATATATATATATATATATATATATATATATATAATGTATTCTGCTTTGAAAAACAGGAAGTCCTACCAAGTCATGGCCATTGAGTCGTATAACTTTCACCTTTAGATTTACAAATTGATTGGCTCGACACTCCTAATAAACATTATTGTGTTACAAATGTACCTTCTACGAATCATCATTGACTAGTGGGTCGCAATTCTATTTTGACCATTCCAGGAACAATCATTTGTTTCGTATCTGTCATCTTTATGGTCACTTGTTAAGTAGCAAGTAATTTACTAGGCTTTTTAAGAACTTTAACGGAGACCAATTATATTGCTTATCGTGCAACATTTAATTGTTAAGTGTCAATGTGTTTCAGATTAACCACGTAAACGAAGTTCAACTTTTTTGAGACTGTCAAAAAACGGTTTTTCATAAAGCCGATTAATTTTTGAGAACATGCGTTGCTACGCTACTTAGACTTGGAAATCTATATAGATTGTATTAATGAATGTTCTCATTATTTAATTTAGGTGCATTATATGTACTAAGTGTATCTTCCGGTTACACTTCGCTTGTTCTTCCATATCCGACTCTCACACGTGGGCTTCTGTTTATCAACAGCTAGACGTAAACTTATATTTTTACTATTGGGAAGAACCTTGACATCACCCTGTGTGTTTTATTCCATTAAGCATGAATCAACCAATAAAGAATAATTTGTTTTACAATTCTGTCGGAATCCCAAACTACTCAAAACCGTTTAGTCTTTACTTCTAAACCCATTTGAAAAATCCACATCATGCCTGTTTACTCTAAGAGGAATATCGCTATATTGAAGCGGGTTCAATAAAGAGCAACAGAAAAGGTGCTTGGACAAAAATTTATACTCTCCCCAACTACCATGGGTGCGTTAAACTTGCCGTCTGTGGTTATTTATGGTTAGTGAAATAAAACTGAATTAACCATCAATTTGAACGTTTCTCTATTATAGAAGAATGTTAACTAAACATTGAATAACTAATGACAAGTAGCGAAAGCCAAGAATGGATAACGGAGAATAATGAAATTCACACCATGGAGCTAGCGCATGCGGCATTCGTTTACCTCTTCATCCTAACTTCCTCTAATCTGTTTTTCAAAATATATAAGATTCTATCTGTTCTTTAAATGTGCTCTGGAGAAAGATGTACTGGGCTAGGTTAGGAAATCATCAGTGGGTGTTGTTCAACCTAAGATTACATAACTTCAGCAGTTTAATTCCACAAGTTTACCTCTAATGGGTCGGTATTATTAATCGAAAAAGATATATCTTCCTACAATCCAAATTCTACAGTCATCCCTCCTTTCAAATGACACTTTTTGACATGTTCTCTAAGTTGATGGTCACAGTTTCGACAACATCAACGCTTGTTCCCAACTTTTGTACGCCAACTTACCTCACTAATATGGAGAGTGAATGCGTCATCAGAGAGATTATTTACATTGTTTTTAGTAATAAACGTTCATATATTATGTGTAAAAAGTATATTTGAAAAAAATCTCAGCAGTTCAAATTTAAATAATTCCAGTATTTCGTCAAGCAATCTTTTCTTGACTTCTACATGGTATTAATCAAAATTATCAAAGAATATATAGCGTTTAGTAAATAAATCCACATCAAGCGCTTATTCAAACACATTCGAATGTTGAGTTTGTTAGGTAAAAGAATATGAACTCTTAAGATATAAACAATGTGAAAATGTTTGGATATATATAAATGTGTACTTTTATGTTATCAACATAGAGGCATGTTAATCATTTTGTTTATTAAAAATAAAATAAATATAATAGCGCAGATTGAAAATTGTCTTAAAATATCGAAGTGCATGCAAAATGAACGTCAACACGTAGTTATGGCAGTAAAATATTTTAATCAGTTATTTGTCGGAATAAAGCCACATGGGATATGAACAGGGTGAGTAGAAATAAAGTCCGAATCACTTGTTAATAACCATTTGCCAAGAATTGATGTTATGACATCGGGTTTCCGATGTAATTTATTTTAAGCACTATCTAAATTTCACTATCGTTGTATAATAGGTATTTTCACTGATTTCAAACATTTTGAAAACCAAATATTGCTAATTCCCACTTGTTGATAACATGCACGTTTTCTATCTCTGTACTTCACACAAAATAATTAAGTTACCATTCTAATTCCGGTTGATTAACTCAAGGCCTTCAGTACATTATAGTTATGTCGAGACTATTTACAGCTAAAGGTCAAGTGTGCTACTGCTCGCTTTCATATTCTCTATGTTTCTGTTACAGAAAAGCTGAGAAATTCACAAGGACGTTATAATATTGAAATATTACTTGTTTAGCAACATTCAGAATAGTTTCCAGTAATGATTAAAAGTTTTTGCACGTTCTTTCTATATAGAAAGACTGCATATATAATTTTAATTAAATCATCCTGATTATAGTTTGGTTAAAAAATGTAAGCTAACTTAAATGCCTTGGCTAGAATGTGGTAGACAACAGAAGTAATAAACTTCGCAATATTATTCACCTACATGTATTGTATTACTCCTAGTCTCCAGATTAGTAAGGAAAGAACTGATCCCAGTGCACACATATTATCCAACTGCCGGATGACTTCGATAGGTAGCTTTGAAATCTCACTGGCCCTACTGGTGAAATAGTAATTACTAATGTGTGTTTCCACAATGAGATGGTATTGTAGTTTCGTTTGTGCTCATCTAGATTTTTTTGACTTAAATTGCACTGTTTCAGGAATTCCTAGTTAGTGCATTAATTCGAACACTTATAATCACCATGCAGAGCTTTTTATAATGCATTACTCTTATACAAATTCGCTTCATTAAATTTCCATTTCCCGTGATTTTTCCGAGGGCGCTTCATATGTCAACGGATACGGCAGTAGATGAACACGTCCTACAGTCATCCACTAGGGTTCAGGAATAATCTAAAAACACCAGACACAAAAAGGAAGAACATGGAGTGGCAGCACTAAGGATTATAATTAAGGAAAGTGAACATCGCAGTCACAGGGCACAAGGTGAGTATAAGTGCAAAGAACATAGCCTCATAAATTCATTCTATTCGGAGCCTACATTTCCTTCTCCAGTCCACTTAACCTATGCCACAGCAACAAAACGAAAAGGTCATCATCAATGGCGTCATGTACAATAGTTTTAACAGTTTCACATGGGTTGCAATGCACACATCTCCTTTGTTACATCGAAACTGTTACTGATTTTGTTGCTGAAAAAATAAAACAGAAGTTCAAATGAGATGCCATATGACTCCAGTCACTAATGCCGCGAAAAAAGATTATTTTGATTGGGTATTCCTTTTAAATTTTTAGTAAGAAGAATTGAAATGATTAACTTCTGGGTTTATGTGATATACACCGAAGCCATCCTTATGTCATACATTGGCATCACTTATGACGAGTCTCTAAACTCTGACCATAATCGGTGCAATGCGCTTACTCATGCGGTTCAGTTAATGGTATGCATTCAGTGGAACTGGACTGTTACCGTCAAAATCCCTAAGTTATTCAATCTTACGTTCAATGTACTCCATTTATTGTATCCCTAACCCATACATCGATCCGATCATTAGACTGCATAACTCCTTTGGTGTTGTTCGAGAACAACCAGCAGTTGTGTTAGGTTTAAGTCTAAGATTGGTGTTAATCCATTTTCTTACATTATTAAAGTAATGGACTTTATATAATATTGTGAACTTGCCACGATATATTGTCTTACGTTTAATTCACGTCACAATCCTTTAATGCTGATAGGTACCCACCGTTTTATTCATAGAGCAAACTGAGCTCGTGGTCACAGTAGATCTTTATTCGCATTGTGAGACAGAACAACCTGAATGTAAGGTTTCCTCTTTCAACACAAAGTTTTCGACGTTCAATATAGAATAGAATAAAATATAATTCCTACGCAGAATAAGGAGGTAAATTCACGCTTGAACCATGTTTTAGCACCAGCATTGTATTTTTTGCTAATTCTTAACGACCCAACTTAGGTTGCTACATCAACACTTTCCTAGAACCAACATCCAAAGTAATGTCGGTTTGATGAATTTATTAAGCAAAAGCATGTATGTTCAGTATCTGTAGCTCAATGAATAATTAAGTCGTTCAGTATCTGACCTCCTCAAATTTAAAATCACAGATCACCTCTCATTCGATAAGCTAAAACAGTCTAAAAACGAGCATGCTTTACTAGCATGTTATCATATCTCGGTGACATTTACATTCCTTTAATAAATTATCCCACATGGCTTGATGTAACTGCCCTCTATATGGGGATCATAGTTTGTAAGAGAATGGAAGGTAAGAAAACGAAACTAGACTATCTGTTGAAGTGCAACAAACCGGCTGCCCAGCACCATCCCTATGATGCTGTAGCCGTAAATAATTCCTCAAAATCAATAGTTCATTAAGTGTTCGACATTGGATGCTGACCCTGTTGTTTAAGTGGACTTGTTTAGCTGAAGGCTTTCGGTCATGCATCCGCACCAGATCACGTTTCAATACGGCGTGGGACACAGCTCCTACGTTTCATTAGCCAGCTCATAGAAAAGGTCCTCGATATATTGGTAACGCATCAAATATATCTTTCCTGCCTCTTCTCGTCTGACTTCTGATTTCTATCTGACTGGGAACGATCAAATATAGAAGGTGCTACTGGTGGCTAGTTGTAAAACTAGAACATCCGTTGCATCATCAATGCAAAGTTTCCTAATGGTCTGTCCGGCTACTAAGTGTTTACTCTTTAGCTACCCTAAAGTCAAAATAAACGGGAATCTATTATCTATTCAAATAGATAAATTAAAACGTGAAGAATAGCTCTAGGGTTCATATACAAAAATCAGATCAAAAAGGAACTGTACAATTACACGCGATAAATTTTAGGTTCCACATAAATCTTTTTGTTTAGCAGAACGTACCGGTAGTCTGGAAGGACTTCTTAGGCTTGTGACCTGCACAAATGATCACAAGCATTAACAGGGTAGTTGATAAATTAATCTGCTAACTTAAGCTTTTCGCATTCAGCAATAGGATCAATAAACTCAACCAATAGTTTTAAAGTCATTCCGAAGACTAGTTATACTCCGGAACATTATGAATTAGTCTTGACATCTGTTGTTGTTACCAACGTAATTAGTAGCAAGAATTCTCTCCTCATAGTAGGTTTTGGGTGTGATATTAGGGCAGATTTTAACTGACGGCCATCTTATTAGTCTGAGGATGATATGTTTTGCAAAGTGTTCTATTAGACCCTAGAAGTTTTAATTAATTTGTTTAATAACTTTGATTCATGTCAGTTTCCTCTATCGGTAGTCGTTGTAAATGGCACATCAGAGATGTTCACCCAGTTCTGAATGAAAGTTTTGACCACTACTTCAGTTCTGATGTCGGCTGTCGGTATGGCTATAGGAAACTTTGCGAACTTATCTATGTAAGCAGATAAAATTTAAAAATGGGCGTACCGGTTGATGTGAACGTGGGCGAAATGTCCATCTGGCTGTAGAAAAAATTTATAAGTTTAACTTTTATGAAATGATTATGCTATGAGATAAGTGAGAAGTGCATTTCAAGCATACACAACAAATACCTAGGTCTTAATGAAATATGAAGAGAATTCTATGATGAATGGAAGTGAACAGAATATTCCTAAACACACCTACAAACAAACTGAAAATGTAAAATTACTAATTTCAGTTCTAAATACAGAAGAGCTACTGCAAACCCATATGGATATCAACATGTAGCTGTAAATAAATGATCGAAATTAATAGCTTTGTAAGTGTTTAACATTGGATGCTAACCACATTAGTCTTTATGGACTCAGTTAGCTAAAGGCGCTCGGTCATGCATCGGCACCAGATCACGGTTACGATCGGCGTGCTCAACATCTCCTGCGATTACCAGCCATATTAGATCAGTCCCTCCTCGGTATATTAATAACCCATCAAATATGCCTTACAACTTCCTAGCTTCTGACTTTTGATTTCAGTAGGCGGGCGCGATTCCATTATGAAAGGTATTACTGGTAACATGTTGTCAAACTACAATACCTGTGGCATCTCCAATCTATCTACATATGCTGGCGACTTGAGTTGATCATGAATATACATTTTATGCAGTTGTAGCTTCAGTGAAATGTCACTGAACTCTAGCCAAATCATCCGGCAGTTGGGTCACTGAATATCGAACAGGTCGTCGATCTCCGTCAAGGTCAAGAACAATCAACGTGATCAGTTAATCATATGCCAAGGACTGGCCCATGCGACAGTGGTTCTACATTCGCTTGTATCTACTTTAACTAATATATTCTCGTAATAACGTCCTTTGTGTTATACAGTCTTCAGAGCATTCATGATCCGTTGATACGTCGATGGGGCAATCCACGTAAGGTGCTGGTCGCGAGGTGCAACTTCGAAGTTAACTTATTCCTTACACAGTCCCCGTCTAACTCGATTAGGCTTCCAATCATTAAACATAGACCATCAACGTTGATCATTTACGCAGTAATATAGAGCATGCTCGGTACTGGCAACTCGCAAACGTTTTTATACCTTAGTGAGACGAAAACAAGTTGTACACTTTGTCCCTGTATACGGTACTCATAGGAAGAATTGTGGAAATGCATGTCAAGTTTTACTACGTTTTCAAAAAGGTGCAAATCCAAGAAAGGCATTCGGAAAAAAGAATATTACCAATCCAGTAATTTTCAAATTAGTTTCTGTCCTGAGAAGTGACAGATGACGTCCTTCAAACATGCAATCCTATTCAGAATACATAGTTTTTCATAGAAGATTTCAGACCTGCATTTTATTATTTATCCGGCTATTCAGGCCTAACAAATATGTTTACTAATACTTACCACTCCTCATAATTGTTTCAGAATTAAACACCTTAGAAACGAGTTCTTCTGTTCCTAAAATCCAAATTTTACCACCGAAATCTAAGAAGAAATCATCGCACAAGTGGCTATCAGGACTCAGTGGCCGAGTGGATAACGCGATGGCGTTTGAAGCGAGGGTACTGGGTTCGAGTCCCAGAGTGAACATCAACTCTGAGATGCAGGTACATACAGCTGACGACTCCCAAATAGGACAACCGCGCGTCGTGGATTCCACTGCTAGCCACTATCCATCATTGATTACCACGCTTGTGAAATAAGGTTTTATCGAGGCAATACGCACAGTATGCACATATGCCAATTAAAGACTGACCAGTTGCAGTCCTAAAACATCGATGGGAATATTCAAACAAACAATACTAAGTGAATCTAAGAAGACTTCAGTTTAACTTTTATTTGTTTATCTGCTTGCAGAAGATTGTCGTTTGAAGGTCGAATATTGGATACTCTTAAATTTCACTTCTGTTGACTTATGAGGGTTTATGCAATGCTATGACACTCAAGAAGATTTTGAATTCAATAATCCTCTTGTTGGCTTTCTATATCAATGCGTGTCCATCGTTTGGTAATAACAGCACTAATAATAATGTTTGCATTGAGTACCGTAAAAACGTGTCGGTATACGTTAAGAATATAATATACAATATGTCAACGAAAACCGCGCCCGTTTCCTTCTGTGGTTGGTGTAGTGAGACTGTATATAAATTGAAGAAAGTTTTAGAGGAGCAAGAGGCTTACAATCCAGATGGGAAGGCATGTGTTGATCTCCTGGCGAACACAGAAAGAGTGAGTCATTTTGAGCTTCGCCTTTTGAATCAGGGTGAACTTATTTATTCTTGGTAGTCCATTTATTTATCCTTCTTCTAGAAGCAAAGGATAAGTCTTAAGTAAACTCATATATCCCCAGCCCTTAATGCGAGTGATAATATTCTAATATGATAATTTCAGAAACCCCAGTTTAACCATCAATATGAGAATCTTGTATTACAGTTCTATCTTCAGGTATTTTTTCCACATCTTTTTAACTAAGATTTCATACTTGTGGGCTGTTTGGGAAGCTAAAAGGTATAGGATTTTATTATGCGGCAGAAATATAATTTATGGTAGAAGCAATTAAATTAAGGATAACAAGTCTTGGATTTGAACGGGAAATTCATCCATGCATGTATTAAAATGGCATTTCGGGATTATAGGCGATGTCAATTCGTGATGGGAACCTTTATTGTGGTTAATAACCGTAAATGTTAACTTCAAATTCCAGTGCATACTAATTGATAGCCCTCTCTTGACCCTGACAAGATGAATCGTCTCATGGTTGTTCACAAATTACAACCCTATCTCTTAACTTATTCGAACTACCGTCTTGGGTGCTAGTAGGTCAGAAATGGCGATACTTCAATTTCGCAGCCAAATTCATACTTAAGATCTTACTAGAATGCGACGAATGTATGATGTTTCACATGACTTATCACCACTTCTAGTTATGTTTATTTCCGACAGCAAAAAGAAAATTTCAAAAAATATTGCCTTTAAAAGAGGATGTTTACCTCTAGTCGAATTGGTATCTCTCATTGGGTGTGATGAGTCAATCTTTAAGTTACCTATTACCTTAAATTTTGGATGTAGTCGAAGTAGGGTGACAACAATATTTTTCTCAAACATAGCTTCAAATCAAAAAGTTAACTACAGTTGCGTGGTAACTACTTACAGACACCAAAGCATTATTCATGTGAATAATCTTATTTCATTTACTTCAAAGGCAAAAATGTCAGGAGTTCATGTTTTGTCTGCGTATAATTTCGTTTGCAAACTTCTTATTATTATTGTATCACTATTCGGTTTACAGGGTACAATAGATTCTATTGACTTCATTTTCGATAAATGGAATCGTTCCTTCTGCTCCCATTGTCTTGAGGAATTTTCTTCCGATCAAAACACTAGTCTATCAACGGATTCTTTCAATAACATAGAATGGTCTAGAAGTCTTTTACACACGGATTCTCTATACAACTTGCAAGTCTACAGTAAAAACGTGCGTACATTCTTCGAAAAGCTTGATGATGCTTTAAATTGTTTCATGCAGTTCATCAATAATCCCAACATCTCCATTCTCAATGTATTAAATTTCCCTTCGTCCAGCACATTAAATATCAGTCCGACGGTTTGTCAAAATTGTTCAGCAGTGTATTATAGCCTCCTAGATTATTACACCAATAATCTTCTAAGATATAACTCCCTAGAAGGAGAGCATCGGAATTTCCTCTTGAAAGAACATTCTAGTCATCGTTTTGCTGTATGTTTGGACGTACAAAATGCCATAAATCGCACACAATGGGCTTGGTACAACTTATTTCGGTGCAGAACGGAGGAAGTTAGTCATATTGGCTTCTTCTTACCATTAATAGTTTGTGTCACATTCCTCATAATTTTCCATTGCCTTGCCCAATCATTATGTCGTTATCCCGTCCATCTACTAGTATACAGGCCAAAACGTGTTGAACCTGCTGTTAAATATCAACGAATTCTTAGCACAGCTTCAATTTCGCGTGGGCAAATGTCATTAGTGAGATCTTATGGAAGCATTGGATCTATGGAAGATAACACAATAGATTCTAACCTAATTGCAAAGGCATACTCACAACCTGATTCACTATTTGATAATCGCACAGTAGTAATCCGAACAACAGAATCCAGAAACTAACAAAATATTACTTATTAGATTAATCAAGCTAAGTGTCTTTCACACGATGATTTCATATTTGTCTATATTTTTGCAAAATCGGAAACATAATCCATTTAGCTTTTATTGTTTGGCATCTTAATTATTCTATTCTATGAGTAATACTGTCTTTCTTGATAACTGAAGATTTTCTTTCTACGTGATTTATCACCTCGTTTCAATAAAATGCTGTATAAGAAAAACTACTTTATTTCGTGTTAAATAAAGAAACGCAATATGTTCTATGTACCAAATCACATCCACAATGCGGCCACACACGAAAAGCAGTGAATGAGCTGGTTTTCCCTTACACTTGTACATTATATTATTAGCATAGTTTTCATCAGATAGCAAACCAGTTAGGGCCATATAAAAACATCCCGATGTCACAGTGATAAAGATAGTTTCACTCTGTAAAAGAGCTTTCTTAAATGTCGATTCTAGCTCAACGTCCTTTTCACAATCAGAGTAAATTTTTACATTTTCAACTGTTGTGCGATTTGTACGTCAGGACACATTGTAAAATAAAATAACTTAAAATTTGGATTTGTTGCATTCAAATATCCTCTTGACAAACATTAATAATGAATCTTTATATTCTCTCTGCAAGACGAAACCCTATTGTATAAGCGATGGTGGTTGACTACTATTGATATAGACGAGAAATGATGAGATAAACCTACTTGGTTTAATTTGTATATGTTCATCGGATTAATTGCGTCAATGAATAACAGTAGCATAAGTAAAATGACAGTCTTTGGACACATGTATTTCATCATCCATATATAAGAGACACAAGGCAAAACCTGCCTACTCAAAATACTATTTATTACAAGCGTTAATGTAAGTCGTAATAATGAATAATCCGAGAAAGAAGATGGATATCAGGTTAGATAATAACTATACAGACACCGACACTTAAGACAAGTATGTGGCTGAAAAGGATATGAAAAAAAGAGGTGCATGTGTCGAAGGTCATAGCTGCTTCTAAGGAGAATAGAGCTATTGGGAAGGTAAAAATGACTCAGTAGCCACAAGCTGACTGAACTATGAAAGTCTGTTCAAAAGTTAGGAAAAAATCAGGCGTTACGGAAGAACAACTACCACAAGTTTTTATGACAAAAAGATATACTGGTCTCTAGTTTTGTCACTTTAATTGTCTTACTGAGCCAAGTAAAACCTGCTGTGAAGAATCTAGAAAAACAGGTCATTATGATATCATACTTTTTGCCTGATTTTTTGTAAAAGACAATACTTAGTTCGTCGGTGAAGATGTCATTGTTATAAAAAATGTTCTTACATCGGTTTGAAATTTGACCCTGCTTTAACAGTTGGAAATGTTACACAAGCTCCCGTCGTTCAAAATAAGTATTCTGAATTTGATCATATTATTTAGCTTTCAAGTTTCATCTTACGTTAAACAATTTTCCATCACCAGGTAGTTTATAATTGTCCACACAAGTAGTGTGTAAATTACTATTGAACTCAAACAGACCTTGCGACTACATGGTACTTGTACAGGTGATCCTATTAAGATGACTAGCACTGCGGTCTCATTAGCGATTTTCTTGGCCTTTCAAGATATCAAGTTGAATACAAATGATTGTATATAGCTCCACCAACCACTACATTTATTAGACTATTAATTCGTTTAGCTGAGGCTCATGCGCAATCTTAGACTCGATTGGGATTAACGTTATTGTAAGAAACTTCAGCTAGATAAAATTGAGACTGGAAATTCTCCAACTAGTTTTTCACCAAGTAGTTTCGAGTTATTGGCTATTTCAGTAAAAGTGCAGCCTGTTTGTTCAGATCTTTAAATCTATATGAATACTAAAGACACTTATTTACATTGTACAGTTACTTTATTCTAATCTTAGGGCTTATGAACCTGGAAAAATAAATGCAGAAAGACAGTGACTGACCTTTTTAAAAACAAGTAGACAAAGATATTAGTTAAAACGGTTTAAATCCGATGATGTTTCCTGGATTATGGTTTCCAACTTAAGAAATTGCAATAAATAAGAGAGGATAACATAAAGTAGGTGATAAATAGAACTAAATAAGGTCTAGATACCATTAAAATGAAAGCAATTGCATAGCTAAAAGAATCTGACATCTTCAGCTAATGTTTAATTAATCGATTCCGATAATTAGTCGTTTCTTACAAGACAGAATCTTTAAATAACTACTCGAAAGTTCGCTACCTTTGGTTTCCTGTGTGCATCCTAAGCAAAAACTAATTACAATACTGCAATGATCAATTACATCTTAACGGGTGAAAACTAATGATGTCGAAATTATAAGATGGATTTACTTTTTTACCAATACAAATATAGGAAGTAAGATTTTATATTATAGCAAAAATGGAAACCGAAACAGTGAAGTTAATTCCTTAAAAAGTCAAAGTAGAACCAGTCGTACAAATTTAATCATTTTGTCTTGGAGCGCTACAATCTGATAAGCAAACCAGAGCTAGTTTGAACACTGTACAAAAATGAAGACCAATGGAAACAAAAACAGATTACTGGTATGATAAAAAAGTATATGTTTGTGAAAGCACACTACAAAACAATATTCGTGAAATCGACGTTTAAGTATCTTCAAAATAATAGTAATAATACAAAGTTTCCCAATGATAACATATTCAAAGCGTTTTTTGTAAATTAAATAAATAACGTTATTACTGAATGAAAGTAGCTAAACTTCCTCCATCTAGATTGGTAAGTACATCATAGTATCACTTAAATATGTCCAACTGAATGCAGAACTTTTATCTGTAACCACGACTAGATGCTGACTTTTTGGTTTAAAGATTAGGCGTTTGTTGCTAGATTTGAACGTCTTAGGTGGGGTCGAGGGTGCCCACCGTTGGGAAATCCCATATGAAGACAAAGCAGGTATTTAGTGCTCCCTGTTTCCTAATGACTGGTTGGATAAGGTTATTCCAAAACATAATGTATATCCTACTAAGTAAAAGACTTGTGGCTGGATAGATAAGACGAGAGCATTTAAACCACTGAGCCATAATAGGTAGGGCAATAATCGAATGTCTCAGACTATCTTACACGAAACCGCTAGTTTCACTTGTTGGAGTCATAAAAATAACGAACATTGCGCTCCATCTAATATATAGAGGCTCTGATTCAAACATAAAAATAGAAACATTGGTCACGAGAGTGAATCCATTTTCTTGAAAAACGTACACTTTTACAGAGTTACAGTCTAAGCACTGAGTGTAGGCGTGACAACTTGAATTTCCTGACCAACTATTTATCTACTAGTAATAGTTGTTGACGTTTAAGATGATTACTTTTTAACTGCCTTAATATCTCACATTAGTACCAGGAGATTCCGATAAAAGAGGCATTAACGGACAATGTTACATTTGGTATTGTCATTTCCATGAGTTGAACTGTTTTGTTTATCGATTTTGTGGATATGAATCCTTATCAGGAAGCAAAACCCCCATAACATTTGATTAAGCACATCAATTTATGTACAAATAAATAGAAAGACGACAAACTTACGAATTCAAAGTTCCAGCTCCTAAATGAGCGAGTAAGTGATACATATGACCTAGATAAGCACCTTTACCCAGGTTTCGATGAAAAACCTCCTAAAGAAAAGTGTATGAAATAAACATTAGAAACATAGTGCGTAGTAATTCAGTAGATTGAATCATCACATACTTTAAGAACTATGACTAGTGAGTACTAAGCGCATCAACGAAAGTAGTGGGAATATTACAGTTTGCGTCACGGGTTTGCTTTTTGACATCCAATTAAAATAATTATGTCAACAAGTGTAGTGTCTAGCGATGATAAATACTCCCTCTTAGGGTAAAAAGCACTACTTTCAAAAACTATCTTGCAAAAAGATACATGGTATCGACTACCAGCTAGATCGGAGTATAGACAAAAACAGTTTGAGGAATTAACTACGACAAACTGCTAACATCTTAATACAAGTAGAGACGTTCCATCGAATGTAGCGGAATTTTTGTTATTTTGTGCGTTTAAAGTCAAAAGTATATCAGAAGGGGTTTTGTGGAGATTTTAGTATTTTTATAGAGTTGAGATCATGAGTCAATTGAAGCTAGACTACCATGGAAAACCTGGAAGCACTGGACGGCCGTTTCGTCCTATTATGGGACTCCTCAGCAGTGCGCGTCCACGAACCCACTCTCGCGGGATTCGAACCCAGGACCTACCAGGTTCGAGCCGAAGCCCTTAACCGATAGACCACTGAGCTGGCATCCAACGGTGTCAATTTCTAACTTCAACTGATTCACGAAATTGAGCAACCATTCACCAATGTCATCAGTGAGTTCCTATCTCACAACAGACCTGGTTGAACTCCACCGGTTACTGCTTCTCACTAGAACTCCAGGAAATACCTCAAGGAGTCAGTCACTAGTGAGCACCTGATTATTATCAGAAGGGGTTTTGTGGAGATTTTAGTATTTTTATAGAGTTGAGATCATGAGTCAATTGAAGCTAGACTACCATGGAAAACCTGGAAGCACTGGACGGCCGTTTCGTCCTATTATGGGACTCCTCAGCAGTGCGCGTCCACGAACCCACTCTCGCGGGATTCGAACCCAGGACCTACCAGGTTGCTCAATTTCGTGAATCAGTTGAAGTTAGAAATTAACACCGTTGGATGCCAGCTCAGTGGTCTATCGGTTAAGGGCTTCGGCTCGAACCTGGTAGGTCCTGGGTTCGAATCCCGCGAGAGTGGGTTCGTGGACGCGCACTGCTGAGGAGTCCCATAATAGGACGAAACGGCCGTCCAGTGCTTCCAGGTTTTCCATGGTAGTCTAGCTTCAATTGACTCATGATCTCAACTCTATCAAAAGTATATGTTTAATAAGAGCTTCCAGAGTGAGTGTCATTAGCATTGTTAATTAGAAATACGAACTACTTCTAGAAAAGTAATTTCTTCGATTTCACTAATGCATAGGTTTTTATTGTCTCTATGTAACCAGCACAAGTGCGTGTAATTCAGTAAAATTCTTTTAGATAACTTGGAAAAATAAATAAGTGACTTTCAAATATCGTCGGAATAAACCAGTAAATGCACTTTCAGGGGGTTGACTGAAGCAACAGATTTCACCAGTTGAAATTATTATATATATTGTATTGCTGAAACGTACGTAGTATTTCATTGTCATTACTTTTTATATATCATGCACCTGGTTGGAGTAGCCGTAAATGAATAACCTTAAAACTACACCCAATAAACTGTTTTTTAGGTTTATTATGATCTCTTTTGCTGAGTACATCCGTAGGTTGAAATTTGAGTTTCTTTTCTCACTGGAAGCATATTATATGCTCACTTTAAGACGGACGGCATTTGTAGGAAGAAAACTTAAGACGTTAGTTTTCCACTTTTATCCCTAAGGAAAACCTGGACCATAAACAAGCAAACTATCTATATACTGGTCTATACGTAAATGGGATGGCAAACAAGCATATTAAATGAAGGTAACCCCTCACTTAAATCAGATGGAGGAATTTTGAAAATGAGAAAGTAATGTGTGGTTTTTTATACATACGAGACTTTTTATTAACAGACACCGAAAATCACACAATTTACTGAGTCCTATCCAACTCAAAAGACACTCAAGTGTAAGTTTGAATTACGAAGAATATTTATTGGAATTGTCTGCTCCTAGCATATTTATTTAATTGCTGGCTTATTTCATTTCTGGATTCAGTAACATTTGGATTGAGCCTAGTAGGTAGGTTTAGAATATCCATTTGGGGGTCCCAGCGGTTATTAAAACCAATGGTTGGAGACGTTAGGTGACACGGTTTAGAACCAGCTGTAGTAGCGCAGATGTATTTACTATTCGTGTTCTCTTAGGTCCTGAGTCTTAAAAGTTTGTATTTTTGATTTTTGTCTAATCGTTTCTACTCCAACTGATGTTGACACTACTCCTACTCTTGGATTTCTCTTAACAATCTTGCTGAGCTAATAGGAAGTAGCATCTTGAACTGACCACGACTGAATTAAGCTGTCTAACCAGAGAGGTATTCAAATGCCAATTACGCTTTGAGTATATGTAGCAGCAGGATAAAAAACAAATCGGTAAAAGTGTGGTTCACTGACCTTGTACGACTTTATGAAGTTGGCTTCGAGCTACAGATTTATTATAAGAGTTAATAAAACTACTCGACCACAAACCAAAGTAGAGTAGAACGGAGTTTTAAATATGAGATCATGTAGTAGAAAGTTAAATGTTTTAATTACTACTTAGCCATTATGCAACAATAAGTTTAGTCCTTCAATAGTTCAATTTCGAGTTAGGAACTAAATATATCGTGTTCTAAGAATCATCTCAGACATTTTATTATATTCAACTACTAAATCTTCCTGTATGTAAAACAGGTTATAATTCCAATTTTAACTTTGTCTCAGCACTATAAACTGTAGATTATTTTGACACATACCACGACAAATATGCTATGTATATGTACCTTGACCAGAAAGTAGCTAAATTACAGGTGTTGTTTTATCTTTCACCTTTGAACGTCTAGTATTTTTACGAAAATCTTCCTGTTGTTATATGTTCATAAATGTGCTATATTTACAAACAGTAAACCTATCATTCACTAGACACATTTTTATAGTACATTAACAAGATCAATTTAATTAGTTTAATGATTAGTATTAACTAGGTTTTTAAGATAACAACTGGTATTTTGTTCAGATAACGTGTAGAAAGACTAAGAAAGTTATTCCAAGAGCACGTTGCTTTACAGTTTATATGAATTTATTTTGTATAAATTGAATAGCTTTTACAAGTATTTAAAGAATTGGTATGGTCAACAGTAGCGATATATCGTATGCAGTCCAATGGATATTTAAACTTAAAACATGCAGAACTTATTTTGTACATAAGTGTGTCTCACTTTATGCGATAAGGATTTCTAGGTTTTGCATATTTTAGTGACATCCCAGATCTTCAAAAACACCAAAAGTGACCATTCGAAGTTTTGATCGGACTCCAGGTGTCTATGAAGCACTTTCACTTATTATTTTTTCACCCTTAAAAATAGCTTTTTTCCACCAGCCCCTGGTAAATAATCCTTTTTATTTGCTTAACCTTCATGAGCCTCATGGTGAGTATTTTTAATTTTAATAATAGGTTTTAAGCAATACTTTAATATAAGGGGAAGGAATGCTATCCAAATACCCAAACAAAAGTAGATGAAAGCATGTTCAAATTGCCTGTTAAAAGTTGAATGCCTAAACTTTAAAATATGATAAGTTGAACTAGTGCATGCTATTGTTCGCTTACAGCAGAAACAGGCGTTCATTTAATCCAAATAATAATTTGCAAAAACAAATTAACTTCATTACCTCTTAATTATGTTTAACTTCTTTCAATTAGATAAACAATATACATATAAACATCGCTTAAAATACTAAACTTTCATTTCAGTGAATATATAAAAACCCAATTAACTTTAAGAATTAGCCATCTGTTTTACTAACTAAAAGAGCTAAATGAACTCACAGATAGCAATAATTCTTTGAATCGCGTCTTCTTAATTACTGCTAACAAACCCCGTTGACCAGCTTTGTAGGCACGGATAAATGCACCAAGATATGGAGTGGAAATGTACCAACTATTCTCGGATTTGATAGTTAGAGCTCCATTTTGTATTAAAACGCTTATTTCATCATCCGAAAAATTTTCCGATGCAACACGTTTACACAAGCTTAAATAATGATACTTCTGACTAGTAAATTCCGCAAATCGTTCTAAAAACTTAGGGATAATATAAGTATGACTAAACCTAAAATCTCTGACTCATCAATAGAAAAATCTCTGAAAGAATTTACAAAATCATCAGATTTCATTATACCAACGGAATCATCAATTTGGTCGTCTATGTTTAATAAACGTATTCTTTGAGATGCCTGCATATCTGACTAAAACAGTGAGCATTAGAAATGATTAAAATACAACAAACCAGCTGTGATTCTACTTTGTTCCGATTATTTACAAGAGTGTATAACTGTGATTTCAAAACGATTGGGCGGCCAAGAATTTTTGAGTTAGTAGAAGGATATAGACTGAACAGATATTCAAGAGCATCACATACTGTTTCTAAAATAAGAATAATTACTAATAAAATAGGTTTACTAACTCATTACAGGTATATTGGATACCTTCATAACTTTTGGGGGGCCGTTAACACGATCAGATAGCTTACGCTTCATGAGGATCTACAATAATAGTTAATACAACAAAAACATTTGATATTAGATGCCAAATCAAATGGCTTGAACTTGGAAGTTTCTGTTTGAAATCCGTGATAGTTGTAAACCAATTATGCTCAATCCATGCTGAATATAGTCAATATACTAAGCCATGACTTCAATTTATGCACAATTTCAAAGCAAAATCATGTAAACAAGTGTATCAGTGTTCAGTGCATCGAGAATTTCACTTATCTCAGAAGTCCCGTCAGTCCTGGCTGGTGTCTGATAAGAAACAAGTACGAATCTAAGAAGGTTGCTTGCCTTTGCCAACTTGCGTCTCCTAGGGATTAGGCGATATGTCCGTCTGCCAACTAAAGAACCAGTGTATAACACAACAGTTCGTTCTGTTCTACTTCATGACTATGGAACATGCCCATTAAGAATAGAGTATGCTCATAGGTTACACAATGCCATTTGATCATAGATGCCTTCGAAGTGCTGCTCGTGTATGTTAGGACCATCAAGTGAACACTATTGAAGTCGGGTAGGCTACTGGGAAAAGATGGTAGATAGACTGATGAGATAGAGAATATTCATCAGCTGAAGTGGCTGGGATAAGCACTACATACTCCTAACTACCGATTATCTAGATGTGCGACATTGCCTGGTGTGAGAGTAAGCTGGAGGAAAACCGATAGTGGCCAAACCAAGAGATGACATCAGTCCATGAAGCCACCGATACTCGGGCTGATAAATGGGAATTCGTGTGGACTGTCTGGTTGTGATCCGCGTTACAACCGTAATCACCGCAATACTGAACCACTTAAACTAAAGGTCAAGTTACTTTACAATCGATATAATTCAACCGGCACTAAGTACCTGCCTACAGTGATATTGGTCACTGGAAAGTGAATAATTTATGCTCACTTTGGTCAGTAAGGGGCTGAATCACATTGAAATCATGAACTGATTAATGTTAGACCACATAAATTATGAGGTCAGTAAACTATTCATTTGCAGCAAGTAAGTCAATCTTTTTAATTAGATTTCAATAATGAATATATAATGAAGTCAATATGGAGACGGACAATAAGGTTCGATATTCAAGATATTATTCAATCAATATCGTAGTGAAAGTTTGTCTTACTAAAGTGTATTTTGGACGATATATTGTAAAGATTAGAGTAAGTAAAGTAATTTTCCGAAAAAAAGACTGACTGGCATAATATGCTAATTTTGAGTGGTGTATCATTAAAGTCCTACATACAAGTCGAAAGTAGAAAATTGAACATTACTTTCAAGGATTATTTTGCATCATTAACCGATTTTGGCTATGTGGACGAAAATAAAAAGTTAGGTAGCATTGCAAACCTCATTCGTCTCAGTGTAGAACTCCATAACAATATGCATCCACGACCTCGGGATTGGTAGGGTTCAAAACTGCCGAGTCTCTCAAAAATTACCAGTTCACATCTAGTGTCCCATATTCCCGATTCAGTTAATGAGAGATACTGAACGGCTATCATCCATTGGCACCTATTGAAAGTGTTTTACTGCCAACATTGTTGAACCTTAACAATTACGATTTCGTAACAAGACTCAAAGGACTCTTTTCGAACCAACTTAGTAGTGAACACATGGTTGCTTTGCAAAAGCTTTATGAGAAATCTATGTGGGGTATCCTCTGGTATGCATATTATATTTATATATATCAGGTGTTACGGATCTATGTTTCACCAACCATTCTATATAACTAACTAATTTACAAAGAAATCACACTCCTCACATAGTAACTGCGAGAGAGACATGATTGGTCAGTGTTAACAGAGCAGATATTAGTGGCAGACCGTGTTTTACTCGTTCCTAAGACAGTTTATGTCATGAAAAGCTACTCATTTATAGTTAAGTTCACCGAAGGTGGGTTCTATTCATTTTCATGTACACTTCCTTACATACATATACGGTAGAATAATTATAGTAGGATGGAATTTGCGAACAAGTAACTATGGAAATCGTCTCCCCATTGTCTCCTAAGAGGGCGATCTCGGGCTAATAACCACAAAAGACTTGGACACCAGCTCAAAATAAGTAAGAGATACACCCAATGCGAACGCAACTCTCCGCTTTGCGCGAAGACAATTTGGTGCAATTATCCTAGAGTTGTTCCTGACACTGTTTAGAATATACGCACGACCCTACCTTCACAATGTTGTTGAGTCCCCTCTCTTCACAAGAGAGATAAATCTCTTACACCAAGTACAGAGACGGGCAACTAAGTGAGTGACAGGTCTAAGGAGTAAATCTTACTAAGACAGACTTCAACACTCGGGATTATCCTCGCTGAGCTGTAGGAGAATAAGAGGTGATCTAATAATGGCGTAGATCATATTAAGTAAGCTAAGTCATCCGAACAAGAACACTACCAAAACAACACCTTCACGCTCATTGATGCAACCTCCGGAAAATTGCACATCAAATAGCAAAACCCAGACACACTACCACTTTTTCATATTAAGAGTTGCCCCCGCTTGGAATGCTCTGCCCGTCGAAGTGACCACAGCCCCCTTAGTTGACAACTTCAAGAGCAGACTTGACAAACATATACTCACCCATGGATTGCCATCTCCTTCTTGGACCATTTGTGCCTGATGCACGGCTCATAATTTACTTCTGTTATCATTATCACATATCAGTAACTACCTCCTTTCTAGTTCATTATCATGTCTATTTCCCTTCTAATTCTTTCAATTCCGTCTTTTTACACATTACCAATTAATTCACTCATCTATTTATTTCTTGAGACAATCATCTCCTTTCGGCACTCGAATTTTCATTTTATTATTTTTCAAAATTCAACTAACCAATCTCCTTTCTGGTAATGTGATAGCTACTGGTATCCAAAAACAATACTGGCCTCAGACAAACGTACTCAATCAAACTACAAGTTATAGGAATCCACAAGTAACTACCACACTCACTACAATGAGTGCAGTTGAATGGGAAGACTATCACCCTTCGGACATTATCAAATAGCTGGAACCACACCGAAACAACAAGAGGCAAGCACAAAGAGATTAGTCGGTTTATACAAGCTTGTGATAAAGAAATTGGATATTGGCATCCGTATCTTAAATAATGATTTGGGTGTTAACATGTTTCATCCCTTTCCCCCTACAAAAATAATTATCTCTGAGGCCACCCGAAGAAGTTCCGAATAGCAACACCATTTTTCGCGATGACCACCTTTCGTTGTTAGAGAGGAGTAAGTGGCAGTTCAAATCAAAAATATACTTTTTAACGTAATATCAATATATTTTAGCAAGGTAAATGCTGCCCATACAGGACTCATAAACTTTTGGATGATAGGTTCAATCTTCAGTAATGAGGACAGTAGGTTGGTGGACATGTGTTAGTCATTACAGTTTGTTTTTTAGTGAACGTCCAGCCTTCCTTTGATAATGTTCACTGATGTAGCTGATACCACTTACTCGGGTAAGGTGTTTCAACCATCGACCACTAGATGAGAAAAACGGAACATCACTCTGAGTTTATTAGACCGTGGTTTTTGAACCTTCTCGATATGGCCCCGAAGATTGTTAGTGCTGGAGAGAACAAAAATATGAGACATATTCACACCCAAATCGTAATTAAACATACAGAACGCCAGTATAAGGTCACTTCGCGTTCTACGATACGAAAAGGTTCAAGCGTTTTAAGCGCTCGTAGTAAGTGACTTTGAAAAGATTCTTCACTAAGCATTTTCCTCACACACTGAACACGCTCAAGTGAGTTATTATATTATTATTATTTGAACACATAAATATTTGTAAAAGGGGCACCGAATAAATATGCACCGCACAAATCTCATTTGATTTGTGTGAAGACTGTGATACTGCCCGGGTGCCCAAACTGAAGCAGGTGAATTTTTTAGGGGGCCACACCCGGAGCCTTTGATCTAAAGGTCTGATCCACAAGGCAGTGGAGCATCGTGAGGAGATGCAGTCCCATGGTAACCGGTGACCAACAATTGATTCATACGCCATTTGTTCCCTCAGGATACTGGAGCCCATGTGCACCATTGGTTTGGAATGATGGTTTTCCAATCTCCTAGGTGAACTTTCCGTGTCCACCAACCCGGTTAAAGCACCGGACATTCTTTTCCGTCCTCTCAATTTCGTAGACAACACCCCCGCCACGAGAAAGAAGTGAGTAGGACTTCCCTGGCAGAGGCTATATATTTGCGTGGCCATTTTGAGAGGGAGAGCGGAATCCCCCCACTCTCGGCCGTACCAGGGCATTTGGGGGTTAGTATACTTAATAAGACATGGACCGGTATCTTGGATACAGCACATAGGTGGGATATAAAATTTGGGACATCTCTTCGTTGGAGCATTTGAATGCTCGGCGAAGTAACCATAACGCACGAAAACCTTTGGCAGATGCGGCGTTGCAGTGTGTAGTTTTTTTTCAAGTAGTGACTTACCATCCTTTAAGTTTGTGTTCATGAACTCATGGAAACGATGTACCGTTGATAGCATACTGGTAACTACTACAATGCCCGATGTGCATGAGCACACTTTCTGAAATTAATTCCTAACCCCCGAATTTGGGATCACCTAACTAATAAGCTTAGGTCAGATTGGAGATCAAGTGATCAGCCTCACTTTTTATTGTGCTCCAGGTTTTGATATCATCCGAAGACAATAATGTCGACGAACTAAGTGATCGCGGTAATTCATTGATGTGGAGAAGGAAAAGTAGGGGGCGTAAGATGGTGCCTTGAGGTTCACTACTTTTAATTGGCTTCCATCCAGATAGTGTCCCATTTATCATTACTTTCTGTCTTCCGCCAGAGAAAGTTTCTTATCCATTCCTGTACAGCACCTGTTATTCCAAATCTCGAGAGCTTCTGCATAAGAACTAAGTGAGAAACCTTATCAAATGCTTTGCTTAAGTATATGAATATCACATCGACAGACGGACCGTTATCTTGAGCTGCTGTCCAATCCTCTCTCGCCGTAAGTAATTTGGCTAAGCATGTGTGCTAATTTCGAAAACCGTGTTGCTCGGGAGTTAACAGATTGTATGATTCTATGTGAGCTAGTAACTTAACTCGAATTATCTTTTCAAGTAAATTAACTACTATTTGGTTAGACTGATAGGCCAGTAGTTAGATACTGTCTGTATCTGACCATCTTTAAATACAAGATCAACTATAGCATCTTTCCAATTCCTAGGGAGTTGAGTGTGGGAAAGGGACATGTTGAGGAACATCTTGAGTGACCCTGAAATAATGCCCCCAAATACCCTGGCACGGTCAAGAGTGGGGAGGGCCCGCCCTCTCTCTTGAAATGCTCTTGCACGGTCACGCGTATACAGCCTCTGCCAGGGGAGTCCTATTCACTTCCTTCTCGTGGCGGGGGTGTTGTCTACGAAATTGAGAGGACGGAAAAGAATGTCCGGTGCTTTAACCGGGTTGGTGGACACGGAAAGTTCACCTAGGAGATTGGAAAACCATCATTCCAAACCAATGGTGCACATGGGCTCCAGTATCCTGAGGGAACAAATGGCGTATGAATCAATTGTTGGTCACCGGCTACCATGGGACTGCATCTCCTCACGATGCTCCACTGCCTTGTGGATCAGACCTTTAGATCAAAGGCTCCGGGTGTGGCCCCCTAAAAAATTCACCTGCTTCAGTTTGGGCACCCGGGCAGTATCATAGCCCTCACGCAATTAAATGAAATGACAAATTTTTGTGTGGTGTATAAGCAGTTAGTGCCCCCTTGTACCGATATTTTTGTTCAAATAAAATAAAGTAATCGTGGATGTAACCCATCAGGACCCGGTATCTTTCTAGATCTGAGGTTACTGATTAATTAAATAACAGCTTCTACAGGTCCTATATCTGGCATCTCGATAGTGTGGTTATGACAAGTTTTGTCAACAATACTCATGCAATAAACTTTGCTGAAATAGTTTGATAGTCTCAGCTTTGACCAAATCTGATTCGGCTAGCATATCTGAATTCTCGTGCAACGGTAATGGGGGAATACCATTACTACATTTCGTTCTTCGTTTAATGTACGAAAACAATCGTTTTGGGCAGGTACGGCTATCATATGTTAATTGTCCTTAACAAATGGTATGGCATCTAGCTGTCTTTTTACACGTATTTTGGTATTCACACTTAAATTATTTGTCGCCTGTTGACAAGAATAAGTCTCAGAAGTGTTTCCTACGACTCATCAGCTTTCAGGTTTCCTTGTCGATCCATGGAGGGCGATGTGATAGCCTTCGTACTTACCATGGGATATACGGTGATGTTACGAACTAGAATGTGGCTTCAAACCTATTCCATTCGTCGTTGATTGATACGTCTGCATTGACCGACAAATCCGTTGAGATAGTACAGTCTCTGATCTACAGAATATCAACTCGCAAGATATTGGGACGGACTGAAGCAGATATGCATTGTATATTGTGTCCAAAACCTAAAGCACAATACGACGTAATCACTATTTGTTGGTGGGGGAAGGTGCTGAATGTCGATGATGTCGTCACAGTAGTGTGTAAAGACAAGGTCCAGCAATGACGGTCCATGTTCCAAATCAATATGTGTCGGTTTAAAGATACATTGCACAAGTGCACACTAAATAATGGTTAATAAAAGGCTGCTACCGAAACATTCACCTGAAGTTGTAAGCTCTATCCAGTTGATTTGCAGCGCGTTGAAATCTCCAACGATGAGACAGCATTTAGCTTTACTCCAAGAACAGGTATGACTTAAGCTAAAGTCGTTAGCAAAACAACATGGGCTACGGTATATTCCTCCCATTGTCACTAACTTGTGTCTAGATTTAGTTGTACAACAAGCTACCTTACAAAAACCCCTATCATGCCTCCTCCCTTGCGATTTATTACTCTATCACTTATAATACAGATATATCCTGCAATGATCTACGATGAGCTGCATTTCTGTGACGACAATTAAATCGCGACTTAAATTATCCACCATCAAGCTTAGCTCGGACGTTTTATTTTTACCAACATCCAGTAGTATTTCACTCTTAAACTGTTTGAAAAGAGATTTCCCTATTGCATGTCGCGCGGTTGGGTGTTGGACTCGTCCCGTGACAGAACTTACTACACTGACACATTCTTTGCTATCAGTACCCATGTTACTAGTCTACCCTCATCAAGATTTTGCTGGCCAACGCCAGAAAGCTGATTGCCTCTGCGATGAGCAGTCCTTTGCTTGAACAACAAAGCATACAAAGCCAATGGGAGCTAGACTTTGAGCACCTTTTATATGTGGTGGGATTTAAACGAATAAATATCTCGTGGAACCACTCTTTGCACTCATTATATTGCATTGCCTCCTCCACAGTGAATAAGCACTTTGGCTGCCCATATTAGCGATCTTAAAAGGATGTAAAGGGGAGGAAGTTGACGAAATACACAAGATAATCACTGGTGTGGTAATCAACTAAAAGAGGTAAGACAAAACGGATTTGAAGAAGAGTTCTAAGCCTTAACCAAATTAAGTCAAGTCAAAGTCGACCAAGTATGCTTTGATGAAATACATACACAAATGCATAGATAATTCACAAGAAGTACAAGATCACTGCCCTTTCTTTAAAGGCTGAATTGTATGAAGCAAGAGTGGATTGGACGCCATGTGGATGGAAACTTAAGAGGATTGGAGTCCTGAGAGATGTGACCTAAAATATTTTTACTTTATATCAACGACTATCCGTTGACAGTATTGCCAAGATTTGTATCTAAGCTATATTGGTTGGATACATATAAGTTACTTCTGCCCACCTTACCCACACAAATTTCGTTGTTTCTCCGATTACGTTACGTTTGGAGAAATACCAGCTCAGGAACCAGTATGTCACGTAGATACTTACTGCGAATATTACAAAGAAAAACTGACTTACTCTTCGTACCGCTGTTGCCCACTGTCCTTGACATATTCTTGAGACAACCAATGAAATCCAACTCAGGTGAACATTGAATTTACTCTTAAAGATCAACAGTGAATTCTAGAGCTCATTCGAAATCCTACGCTACTTATAGTCAGAATGTTTTAACCTTATAAGACTATGTTCATAAGGGTACAATCTTGTGCCATTCCTAATTGTTGTCGGTTGTTTTCATTATTAAATATGCGTTTTGTGTACTTAATGGGTCGTCGACGTACTTTTTCTTTTGTCCCTTAAAATAAGTTTACACACAGCTCTTCACACTCCCCCAACTCACAGCATACCTTCATGCTAAACCCAAACCGAAAAATGGCCGAAAATCACAACGCTTTCTCTATTCTAAATACACAGTTGTGCTTCCTTATTTTGGTAGTTGTACCCAGGACTATTAATTTTTGGTGGGGAAACCTGTACGCGACTGGAATTAATCTTCTAATAGGATATTCTGGCAATATTAAACTACACTGCCGACCCTTGAACGAATTTTAAATGACCTTGAGAAATATTAGCCAATCAAAAGACAGTTAATATACAGTTAAAATATATTATACAAAACTAAAGAATTAAAGTGGAAACACTTCTTTTACACGGGTCAAAAACTTCTCAAGGTCAGATATAGGTTTAGGAGTTCTAAGATCATAGTGCATACAGTACAGGAACACATCCATATGGCTCCATAGTAGTCGACCTCCGAAACCGTGATAAGGTCTCAAAAATTCTTTTAGCCTCGACCACATAGCTTCAATAATGTTAGTATATTGGTATGGTTTACGGGTTAGGGTTAGAGTTAAGGTTTAGGTGTAGGGTTATGGGTGGGAATATAAGTTATGGACAACCTTTGAGCGACGCTAGAGTGACTTTGAGAGTGTCAACATAATAACTAGGACCAAATGAGGGTTATAAACCTATGTGAAGAATTCAAATTATGATTTACAGTTCATGATAGGTTAGGAATTATACTTAGGGTTTTCATCACGAACTGACATCAGCTATAATGCCAAAACTCTATTTATCCAAATGGATAATTGAATTTCGCGCCAAAATCTTATGATCACTTCTATTGTAGACGCTAAATTATCACGTCTTCCCTAAAATCCGCTGTAAACCGACCGTACGTAAGCATCAGGTACCGAACTTAGCGCCGTGACCTTGAAAACCCGCGAAAGCTTCTGATTGGCTCGACAGTATAGTTTAATCCTACCCCTGTGAGAAATCTGAACCGCCCTCTAAACAGGAGCGTATGACCTGTATACAATTTTCTGTTTCGGATTCCACCAGGGTCTTTCAAATCCTGTGTAACATTGTACTTAAATTTGTGTAAGTTCCTCTTAAAGACTTTACAATTCCTCAACTATGTAGAGCTCGCCGTGTTTCTGTTCATTATATATAGATTAAGCGGAGATAAGGTGTTTGCACTACTGTTGTTTATCATCACTACTTTAGCCATGTCTAACAGGTTTTTTACCTTTCCCAAATAATACGAAGTTAATTGTGATCTATATTTTCACAGTACAGTATGGCTTCCTATAACTGGTAGCTTACGTGATATCCAGTCGAATCAGACAATCTTTTTAGCTGGTTTAATACCTTAGGATTACAGATAAAACATGTTTTACAGAATCATTGTAAGGTGACTCAGTTTCGCTAGGCAAAGGCCAAATATAATTTTTCGGATCTCCTAAGTAAGAATACATGGATTTTTGGAATGTATTGAAAACCACTACCCTTATATGATTGGATCACTAGATGAGTAATTTTGAAGTCAGACGTAAAGTATAGAGTACACTGGTTGTTCAGGTCATAAATCTACATCAGTTGATATGATTAAGCAATGTACGACGAATGCTAAGCTGCTACCTACCACGCAGTTCAGTATGCAAAAAAGCTTGAGGCAGGTCGATAAAGATATAGCATCAGTCCCTGAATCCATGTACTAGTGATCTGCGCTATGTTGATAGGTGGGAATTTCATGGTTTCGTCTTACCTAATAGTCATAGTAAGCGGTTGTAGACGTCGGCTAACATGGCTTGAAGTGGTTTGGTTGGGTTTGCTCTTCATCTATATATTAAATTAGTTGTCACACCTAGTTCCTCATTTCTCTGCTTTATTTATTCCTCCTAAGTTGTGTTTTGTTATGTTTAGCACTTATTTCCCGCTTTTTAATTCCCTCACTGTGTTGCCATGAGGTTTTGGAATTTAATCCGTTGCATAGGCGCCCCAAGTCTTATGTATGACCGATGTAGTTAATATGATTTACATAAAAAGGAATCACACTTATAGTCTCTTTAATCGGAAGTTCTTACAAGAAGTCTAAATAATTATTCACCTATTCATGTCGTTTATCCCCTATTTCTTAGATTGACCCTTGCCAAGTTTTGCGTTTTATCCATCTATTTTTCTGCTCTAGCCTTCTCTCTTAATCCCTTCAAGTGTGTTACTATATCGTGTTCCTCTCATTAATTCTGCTACCACAACTTCGTTATGTGCAACTTTAGCATCGTTCTGCACTTACACCTTGATACAGCTCATCAGATGTTAGCATCAGTCAGTCAGTCACAACGTAGAACTTCGTACGTACGTACATCAGTTCGAGTTACCATACCACATTAGCACAGAGGTGCAGTTGTCGATTCAAATCCCATAGTGGTAGAAGTAGTAGGAGTATAATCAGAAATCCAAAAGATTAGGGTTTGAAGAAATTATTGAAGCAGTATAATACAGTGAAATAAATTTGAAAAGAGAAAAAGGATATGGACATGAAGAATTCAGAAGATTAGAATTTGGTAGAACACAAAGAGTGGATGCACCTTCGCCATTGCAAACGATTTCGAGCCATGTCATTCAAGGTCTCTAACCATCGGTTGCTGTCATCTCGCGAATCCCAACCCGGTAGTCTACACCTACCAACATGGCCCAGTCCACTTGTCAGTGACTTCATTGATTTGTGCCACGTTTTGGTCTGGCCACCCCTAGCTTTCTTCCAACCTACTCCTACACCATGAAACATTGCACGTCGGGGCAGTCGGTGGTCGGGCATACGTAACACATGTCCCAGCCATCTCAACTGATGAAGTTTCACTACTTCATCAATCGATTTGCCATCCTTACCTAGTACCCGCTTCCTAACAAAACTGCATTACTTACCCAGTGGTCCTAGGATATACGAGCAATGCTTCGAAGACACCTATGATCGAACACTAGTAGCCTACGAATATCCTCTACTCTTATTGGCCATGTTTCACTGCTATAAAATAGGACGGAGCGAACTGCTGCACAGTACCCCCTTCTTTTGGTTGCTAGACAGATATCTCGCCTACTCCATAAATGACGCAAGTTGGCGAAAGCTAGACGAGCCTTCTGTATCCGTGTTGAGATTTCGTCACACATCAGACCACAAGGGCTGATGAGACTCCCAAGATAAGTGAAGTGGTCTACACGCTCAACTACTTCACTCCCTATCATTAGTTCATGTGTCGCTGCAACCCAATCCTGAAGTAACATTTTGCACTTCGAGGGAGAGAATCGCATCCCGAACATGCCTGCATAGTTGCTTATAGTGGTCAGAAGACTCTGCATGTTGTCAGTGTCTTCACCGAGTAAAACTATGTCGTCGGCGTATTCTAAGTCAACAAGTGAGCCTTCTGGTAAAAGTTCAACTCCTGGAGGTTTAGCTGATGAAAGTGCTATCTCTAAAAGTATGTCAATGACAAAGTTAAACAAGAATGGGGAGAGTGGACAGCCCAGACGAACGCCACTTGTGGTAATCAGTTCTGATGACAGTTCGCCATAGGCTCTAACTCGACCAGTTGTGTTCGAGTAGAGAGCCTTTATGAGGTTAATGTACTTCTTTGGTACTCCTTTCAGTGACAAACACTGCCATAGAACCTCACGATCAACGGAGTCAAATACCGCCTTAAGGTCAAGAAATACTATTATTGTGGGACGTCTGAATTTGTGTCTATGTTCTAGGACATGACGTAGGGTGAATATCTGGTCTATGCAACCACGTCCAGGTGGAAAACCAGTCTGCTCTTCACGAGCTTTGGTTAGGCGACCTAGTATTATTGAAGCTAATATTTTAGACACTATATTAGTCAAACTGATCCCTCTGTGATTGTCACAGGAGGACTTTTGTCCTTTCTTATAGACTGGCACAATCAGTGATTGGGACCAGTCAGATGGAATTACGTCCAGTTCCCAGATTCTACCTAAGACCTCAGTCAATCTCACTGCTAGTACTGGACCACCATCCTTAAAAATCTCAGGGGTCAACCTGTCAGGGCCTGCTGCTCTCCCTCGCTTCAGATTTCCTATAGCTTTTTCAATCTCACAGAGGGTTGGAGGACTTACATCAATTTGCCATTCAGGACGACTGGGGATCGTGGGTAATTGAAGTGTGGCTGAAGGCCAGTTGAACTGAACCCTAAAGTGTTCTGCCCATCGATCCAATCTCCTGGATTGAGAATGAATAATATGCCCATCTTTATCTGAGATGGTTTCACTGATATTCGGGTTCCTAATACCGGTTTCTTTAACGAGTCTGAGTAGCTGCCTACTGTTACCGCTGCCTTTTCCATTTCTCTTGCTTTCGCTACCCACCACTGTTCACGATCATTGCGTAGGCTTCTTATAAGCCTGCGCTTAAGTTGACTCCGCTCTTCGTTATGTTCAGAGCCAGGTGGGATGAGTTTACGAGCATCTATCAGTGCGGTAGATGCTGCCGAGATCCATTATTTCTCCCTAACGTTATGGTTTACCTTACTAGCGGATATCACTGCTGTTTCCACAGCTTTTCGGATGTCATTCCACGCTGCCTCGGGGTGGACACAACTTACATGTCCGCTTAACTGTTTTTCTAGTTGTTCCTGAAATATATTCTTAGCTTGCCTATCATTAAGTAAAACATTAAGAGGTTTCCTTGCAGTGTCTTTCCTACGTTCAGTAAGACGCAGACAGATACGTGCTCGCTCTAGAGCATAATCTGAATCTGAGCATGTGCTCCAGAATGAGCGACAGTCTTCCATCGAGCCCCTCCATCGGTGGCTGATAGCGATGTGATCTAATTGGGTCCAACGTTGGGACGAATTTGGGGGTCACCATGTCAAAAGATGTATTTCCTTATGCTTAAAGTTAGTATTTGCAAGAAATAGGCGGTTATCTGAGCACAGCTGCAACAGGCGGTTGCCATTATCCATCCTTTTAGCCACGACACCATAGGATTCATCCAGGTGTCTTTCCCTGCCTACTTGAGCACTAAAGTCACCAGCCACTATCACTACATCAGAGCGCCTAGCTTTTCGGAGAAGGTCGGAAAGCTTTCTGTAAAACTCATCTTTTATATCGTCTGAGCTACAGTCAGTGGGAGAGTAGGCAGAGACGACGAAGAGGCAACGACTAGTTTCCCTATCTTTCCGGGTCCTTACTGATCCGTTTAGTCGGACAGCGCGTAGACGAATGTCCACTGGGATCCAGTCTAAAAGAGCTAGTTCTGCCCTAGGACTTAATGCTATACCTACTCCAGCGAGGCCACGGGAAGCAGCATCAGGGCTTCCAGATACACGAAGCGTGTATCGAGATGGTTCTTTATTTTGATTAGGTGCGGTCAAATGAATGACACTACTCGGATCATGTATGCGCGTTTCGGAGACGCAGCACACATCGATGGTGTAAGATTCTAGAGTTCTAGCTAAGGAAGCCTGTTGTCCTATTTGGCACAATGCTCGGACATTAAAAGTTCCTACATGTAGTTTAGAGCGTGGTTTCAGGAGACCAGGAATAACGTTCTGTGTACTCGAATCGTTTGCCCTAGCGGTGCGAGGTGATGAAAGGACGTGGGAAGGGTTAGTCGTGGAGATAAGAGAGTTATTAGGTGTAGGAAGGATTTGAAAGCGACCAACTTGGTCTCGTGTGCAGTTAAGGGTATGAGGGTTAATATCACTTGCCGGCTGCCCACATTGTGGAAGGGTATTTCTTGAGGGACCTGAAAAAGAAGTTGGATTAGTGTTGGTCTTAACGACCTGGGAGCGTGACCGCAGTGCCCAAGGGACAACTGCTTGAGGCCGGTCACGCATGGCCTTTTTGTGGGGGATTTTTGACGTGTTAGCTCCGTTCTTCAAAAGTCCTTACCGCCGGAGACGGAAATCCGTGGGATAAGGCGAGGTGTGCATTTTTAGGGTCGACCTTTTCTAACCCCACCCCTCCTTGTGGGAAGGCAGCATCGCTGTCATGCTGGTTATCTGAAGGAAACACACTGCTTTCACACCTCTGTACAATCAGCATAAGTAAACATGATAGTTTACATCTAACTTTTATTAAGGTATTTAGCTACATCTCAATATCAATGATACCTTAGATAACAGGGATGGTGTTCCCATCTTATTTTCATGTTTTTAAAAAATTATAGTCTTTTTTATTGATGCAATTTACTAATAGTATTTGTGCATAATCCATCGTAAGGAGACAGAATTTTATTGTTGTGAATAATATGAAGGGATAACTTTAATGTCATCTTTTATTTGAATGTCTCAGTGAAATCACAAACCTATATTGATGATGCTTTCAACTATTTTTTTCTCCAACCTGCAAATTATAATTGTATATTTTGCCACTTTTAAGTAGCTGTATGTTCGTCATAAATGCTAGTGGAGGGGTGGTTCAGTGATTAAACGTTCAGCTTTCGATTACTAAGTTTCACATCCAAATCCCTCTCTACTTGCTCCGGTTTGGACATCCGGGTATCACCCTCACCCCTTATGTTCTAAGTGTAACTCATACCCACATACTTGATGAATCTTTTGATATACTATGCATAATAAAATTTATGCTTTTTTGTCACAGATTTTCCCGAATTCTATTCGGTTTATTAAAAGAATTTTAAACTGAACCGAATAAATGGTTTCCAGAAGAGAAATCCTGACACTTTACAAAAATCTCTTAACATATGTGAATAACCTAAAGCATTCCGATAAAAGTTACCTAAAAAAGAGGATTCAGTCTACTTTTAAAGAGAATAAAGTGTCTACTGATGATGATGAAACAACACGATTGTATAAGGTATGTATTTGAATTTCCCGAAATTCATATACTTTTTTTTAGAAAGGTTGTGAGATTTTACGACTTAAAAGATTTATCTAAATTTTGCGTTGATGTACATTTCCCTTCGTGATTTCATTCAGTTCATGTAATTTGCCGTTTTTCCAGTGATTTATTTTCCCAAATAAAAATTCCCGTTTGTGAAAACAATTCTTACTTTCTGAATCCTTTTATTCCACTTAAAATAAATGTAATACTCACGTTCCTAAGAAAAAAAATAGTAAAGCAAATTTTAGTATGTAGTGGTCAGTAGATGCAATTCGAGTAGAAAGCATCCGCATGTTTTATAATTACTGCCCAACGTATCTAGACTGGTTTTTACCAATCAATAAAGGACTACACTTTAATTATTTAGTGTGTGGCTTCAAAATTTAGTTCATAATATATATTAACAAGATGACGAGATCGTGTCGTAATTCAAACCATAAAATATTTTAAGATGCACATGTTTGATAAAAATTTCTACAACATGCTTTGCGAGACAGTAAATGTAATTTCTGCTCCCCATAAAAGTCTGCATTGATTCACATGACCATTAAGTTACGCTATAGCTGGTATTTCTGTTTAAAACCCATTTCATTTGACAGAGATGTTACTCAGAAGCTGAAACAAACGGCTATCAGACTAAATTGCCTCAATTCACACTGGTTCATTGAGGAAAGAATCGTAGATGAATGGTAAACTAAGTGTTAAAATAATGAAATTCAGGGTTTTCTGAAAAATTACTTGTTCTGTAACGGTAGAGTGTGGTTATCTCGAGGACCACAGCCCCCAAATCTTCATTGCCCTACATGGCCAGACCAATAACCAGTGACTTCGTGTACTGATACCAGGTTCTAGATTGCCTATGGCTGATTGACTATAATCTAGGATGATTTGACTAATAACACCTTAAACAACGTTCTATTCATACAGTTAATCGTACTAAATCTAAATAATTCGACAACTTATTTTAACATGGTAGATGACTGACCAGTTTTAATTGAATAGGGTTAAAGTTATATTTCACTGTTAATAAGACAGAATAGAATATGTGTTTCGTGACATTACTTAGAGAACCTAGAAAAGTTTCTTAGAGGGTCGGTCAATACGTTATTTAGATGTTACTTAATGACTTTCCTGTCATGTAGCGATTGTAGTTGCTCATTGTTTAAAGATGAGGCCTGTTTCTTATTCTTCTCCTATATTATGTATTGTTCAGTCAAACGGCCCTAGATGGACAATAAAACAAAGAGGGTAATTTGGTTCCATTTTCCTTGTCATTTCTATTGTGTCAAGGAGACGTTGAGATTTTTCACTGTCATTAACTCAGAAAGGGATAAAGTTTCAACAATAATCCATCTTAAGTACTAGATTAGATCGAACTATCAGACTTTGCTTTTTGTTCATGAAAATAGTTGATATGCTTATTTTCTGAGGTAAACTACTACCGAAAGTATGACTCAATACGCAGGTCAGGACAACTTTGAAACGTAAAATAGTCAAACTGCTGTCATTTTGTGAGTAGTTCATCTATCTTAAATAAAATTACTGATGTTAGCCAATAAAAATTATTCCACCCCCATAATACCATTCATTTTAAAGAAAAAAAAATCATTGGAAAATTAATTGCTAAGATATAACTCTTCCGATCCTCATATCAAATAAACAGAATATGGGCACTAGCATTTTCACAAATAAACGTAAGAATATATTTACAAGAAATCTCGGTATAAGTATTCCTAAAGATTTTAACATATCAACCTTCTTGGCTATTTATTAATATAAATCAAACAAGTTATGTGAAGGTATGATCCATTCAAAAGATAGTTCTCGTAGTTAGTTGATGTTAGATAATTAGTAGTTGCATGGTTCTAGCTTTCGTAAGGATAGATCATGCACAGATCAAATCGCAACTCTGCGGATCATTGTGGAACAATCAATCGAATGGAATTCATCACTCTACATCAACTTCATCGACTACGAGAAGGCATTTGATAGCGTGGACAGGACGACACTATGGAAGCTTCTTCGACACTACGGCGTGCCTGAGAAGATAGTCAATATCATACGGAACTCCTGTGATGGACTAAACTGCCACATCGTCCACGGAGGACAACTCACCGACTCGTTTGAAGTAAAGACCGGTGTGAGGCAAGGTTGCTTACTCTCACCGTTTCTCTTTCTCCTGGTCATCGACTGGATCATGAAGACGTCAACGACTGGAGGAAAGCACGGGGTACAGTGGACAGGCAGGATGCAGCTTGATGATTTAGACTTCGCAGATGATCTGGCTCTTCTATCACAAACGCAACAACAAATGCAGGAGAAAACGACCAGTGTAGCAGCAGCCTCAGCAGCAGTAGGTCTCAATATAAACAAAGAGAAAAGCAAGACTCTCCGATACAATACAATATGCACCAATCAAATTACACTTGACGGAGAAGATTTGGAGGATGTGGAAACCTTTACATATCTGGGCAGCATCATTGATGAACACGGTGGATCAGATGCAGATGTGAGGGCGAGGATCGGCAAAGCAAGAGCAGCATGCCTACAACTGAAAAACATCTGGAGCTCAAAACAATTGTCAACCAACACCAAGGTTAGAATTTTCAATACAAATGTCAAGACAGTTCTATTGTATGTGGCGGAGACGTGGAGAACTACGAAAGCCATTATCCAGAAGATACAAGTGTTCATCAACAGCTGTCTACGCAAAATACTTCGGATCCGATGGCCAGACACTATCAGCAATAAGTTACTGTGGGAGACAACAAACCAGATTCCAGCAGAGGAAGAAATCAGGAAGAAGCGCTGGAAGTGGATTGGGCACACCTTGAGGAAATCAGCTAATTGCGTCACAAGACAGGCCCTCACATGGAATCCTGAAGGTCAACGGAGAATAGGAAGACCAAAGAACACATTACGTCGAGAAATAGAGACAGACATGAGAAGAATGAACAAGAACTAGATAGAGCTAGAAAAGGAAGCCCAGGACAGAGTGGGTTGGAGAAAGCTGGTCGGCGGCCTATGCTCCATTGGGAGTAACAGGCGTAAGTAAGTAAATGGTTCTAGCTTGAAAAACTTCAACTGTGAGTCGCATTGACTTAAACTTGACTCGACCCCAAGCGTTTGGTTCTTGTTGGACTCCTTACTGAATGAAGTTTGTGGATAAAGAAAGATAAACTAAATACATTAATTTATTAAAAATCAGCCTTTATGAAAATCTAAGTCAACTCATTCATCAGGTACCTGAATATGAACTACGACTATTGATACTACCCCATTACCTAAGCCGAAGTAGATGAAGCGGTGTTCTAACCTGGAACTTCGTGGCTGAGAGTTGAATGCCGTAACTACTAAGCTTCTATGAAATAACAGTTACACATGAAAGTAACGTATTTAACGGGAGATAAGTGTTAATATTTTTTTAAAGGAAGTAAGTGAATAGTTAACAAACTATACAGTGAATACCCACTTTGTATTTCATAAACAAACGTAACATAATCATGCAACCCAAGTGACTACATGCTTTATTTCAGTGTCTCACCCCCTGTTTTAAATAGTAAGCAAATCCCAGATAACATTATTTTAAACTGGGAAATCTAATGAGATTAAGCATTTTTGAAAAGAATAGTGAACCGTCTTGCAAAATATATAATAATTAGAGTGAATTTAGTTTATCTCGTTACAGGTAATCTTGGATGAATTTTGATCAGTCTGTGCTGGCATACGTGCATCTCTTGAAGATCACCTCAATATATGCATTTTCAACTGCTAGTCAGTAGTCCATCTATTCTATAAAAAGTTCTTGCAGATTATTATAGATATTACGCAAGTTTCTCGAAATGTGATAGTAACAACCCATTATTATAACATTTTATTTACTGACATTATTTGCGGATTCAACTTTAAGACACCTTATTTATGAAGTTTAATGATAATTCTCGATTGCCAAAATCAAAGGTAAATAGGACAAAGTTCTAATCTATCACCTGTTAGTGTTTCGTCAACTATAGAACCATTGGTTATGTAGTAATACTCAGTTTACTAGTCAATGTTAAAAACCATACTCATCAAGTATCTTGATTTAAAATATTGATTAATGATTTATTATGCCAATAGATGCTTATATTTTTACTTATTTTTTTTCAATTACTACTCGACATTAATTATGATTTCGGAATTCCACTTTTTAACAATTACTGTCACCGGTTTGAACTTCAATCCCAGACGGATGTTATCATTATCTGTAATATAAAATATACATCTTAAAAGTAATTACATTTATTAGTTTTTATTTACTGGGTAAAATTGTACCGATCACTTTTTATTTTAAATAAGACAGATTTGAACCTCATTAAAAATTTATAAAAACTTTTATTGACTGAGAAGAAGGACAAATTATGAAAACTTCAGGTTAATAAGTTAGAACAGATATAATAGATGTTTGGTAGGATCAAACAAGCATTTTGGCTTTCTTTTTTTTTTTTACAGAGAATGAGTTTATGTTAATAACTGACGAAAACAAAGTATGGTCATTAATAGTTCCGGTTCACTCACAACTCATCTAAATATCTCAGCCTGTATTCACTATATGTACAATGGAATTGCAATTTAAGAAAAGGTGTGTTGAAGAATTTGTGAATAATCTTTAAAGATTGACAAGCTCTATTGAATAAATAAGGGGCAAGATTTAATTAAAGGTTTATTGAAGTAGCTGTCTAGTTTAAAAATCGTTTACATTATAGACTAAACTGCTGAAATTGTCTTGAGAATAAACCATACATTCCAATCCCTTCTCATTCTTTATTTGATTCTAAGTCGATTTCAACGGCGCGTTAGTGCCATTTAAGTATATATAACAAATTATAAGTAGTATAGTTTCATAAATAAAAATTCGATTGGCATGGTGAACAGTAGCAAAGTTATATACTGTTGCAGTTTAGTAAGTGTCTTCAGATTAATGTACTTATTTGATAGCTCAATGAAGTTCTACCTAATAGTGAACTAAATTGTTCCCCTAATATACAAATGTACGTCATAAATCCAACCCAATATCTGTTAACTGATCAAATTGAATCAGTATTCGAATTATTCATTAAAAACTCTCAATCGATAATCTAGATGTTTGTTAAAAGCTTTTTCATCTTATCAGGCG